ATAAGGTGTAGCAGCAGCAGCAGGAGGAGGGGTCCCTTCTTCTCTCAATAGTATGACTGACTCTGTCATTAAGCAGGAGGCAGCTGTCAAAGGCAGTGCATTAGGGGTGTCATCAAAAGTCAGCAAATGCAGGTTGCGGTTCCATTGGGACCTGAAATGTTTGGGATTTTGTTTTTGGCTTCTTTTTTTTGGATGTTACATATATGTAGATAACAAGATATCTCAGAGATGTGACCAAAATCTAAACGTGAGGTTCACTTATCTTTCATATACACATATATAACCTGAAAGTAATTTTTACAATTTTAAAAATAATTTTGTTCATGGCGCACCATTTGTGTCTATTCAGCCATCAAAAAGCAAAGTGTCATTGTCTCAGGCTAGATCCGAACTGCCGTAGAATAGCCTGGACCTGCATGATATGGTCAGTATAAACACATATAATGCAGTTTGACTGCAGCTAACTGTACTATGAGCCTACACTGGTTCCAAACTGTATTATATAGCAGTGTAGATGGGGCCTTAGACACCCAAGTGGACAATTTTGGCATTTTTCATTCTTTGTTTGTGTTGTGCAAATTTTTGACTTTAGCTCTCTCAATATTCCTTCTTGATATTAATTCTTAGTATTATGTAGCAGCTATTGCATAGTGCAAGAGAGTAACATATGTGGATTCATGTATACATATTTATTATTTATTTATTTAAAAGTTTTGTATACCGGCCTTCTCACCCCTCTTGAGGGACTCAGACCGGTTTCCAACCATAATATCACATACAATCAATAAAACATTATAATACATATTACAGTAAAACATTAAAACAGCAATTACAATCAATAACTATAATGGTCAGTCGTCACACTAAAATCGTTGCTCATCATCCTCCATCCATATCTCAGGGTGTTGGCTCACTCGTCGAATGCCTGTCTCCATAACCAAGTCTTCACCTGTTTCCTAAATGTCAGGATAGAAGGGGCGGTTCTGATCTCCAGTGGGGGAGAGTTCCAGAGTCGAGGGGCCACCACATAGAACAGTATAGTGAATTTGTTGCTAATGTTGCCTTAGTAATTTCCAACTTTTGGTGACCCTAAAATGGAGTTTCCATCAGGGTGGGAGAGTCTTCCCCAAGATGTGTTCAGTGGGAATTTGCCACTGCTCCAGTTTCCCCAGTCGATTTCCATGGCCAAATGGGGATTCAAACCCTGCTCTCCTGGCATCCCAGTTCAAAACAAATGCACACACGCTTTTCTTCTTAACATGAAATGGGATTGTAATATCTACCAATGTGGATAGTTTGAAAAGGGGACTAGACCCAAGGGAACTAGTGAAGATGAAGCTATTAGTGGCTATTGTTGATAATTCTATATATTTTCTCTAGTATCAGAGGCTGTACAGTATGATTCCTGTTTTTACATGGCTATATTCCCAGATTTTGCATAGATAAACAAAACTCTGGGTAATAATAAACTCGACTGAAATGAAAGATGTCCATCTCAAGAATACCATAGAGTTATTTTGGAAGATCTAGGAAACAACTACAAAAGTCATATTTTGTTGAAAGTGAATAAATGAAACTATGGGCACCAATAAAGGTAAAGCTTTCCCCTTGACATTAAGTCTAATTGAGGCTGACCCTGGGGAGTGGTGCTCATCTCTATTTCTAAGCTAAAGAGCCAGCGTTGTCCATAGATGCCTCCTAGGTCATGTGGCCAGCATGACTGCATGGAGTGCCATTACCTTCCCTCCAAAGCGGTACCTATTGATTTGCTCACATTTGCATGTTTTCAAACTGCTAGGTTGGCAAAATCTGGGGTTGACAACAAGAGCTCACCCCATCCCACAGATTCAAACCACCAACCTTCTGGCCAGCAAGTTCTGTAGCTTAGCAGTTTAACCTGCTGTGCCACTGCAGCCCCCACATAGATATAGTGGTCATATTATTTCTATTTCTGTTCTATCAATTGTTGAGGGACGTGATGGGGTTGGTGCAGTTTCAGGTATAGGCAATAGGCAATGTGATAAAGGAAAAATGTTCAACTAGGTAAGTCATCATGTCTGCATGTTTTTGTTTTTGTTTTTACTTTGGTTTCTTTTGGAAGAATCTGTCCTAAATCTAGGTATCTCAAAATACCTTGGAATGATGTTGGACTGTTCTTTCTTCTTCTTTTTCGACCAGTCCAGGTAGCTGAAGCTCAAGGTCCCGAAGAGCCTGACCTGTTGTATCATGGCTGTTCAGAGGGGAGCTGCTACCCGGCCACCGGAAATCTTCTCATCGGGAGGGCCCAGAGCTTGAGCGCTACCTCAACATGTGGCTTGGAAAGCCCTCAGGACTACTGCATTGTCAGCCATCTACAGGTAATGCTCCTTGAGGACAGTTCTGGGAGTATACATTGGCAAAGAGTCTTGTCAAAAGGGCTGATCAGCGGGGCAATATAACACTTTATTTATATTCTGCTCTATCTCCTCGAGGGGACTCAGAGTGGATTACAACATACACATATGGGCAAACATTCAGTGCCTTTAATACATGGAATAACAATGACAAACAAACACACAGAACAAAGGTAAAGGCTTTCCCTTTCATCTCCAGCTTTTTAGAGGCAGTGCTAAACTCTGGCCATGCGGAGGTGCTCTTGTTCCATTTCCAAGCCGAGGAGCCTGTTGTCCATAGACACCTCCTGTTCGTGTTGCCAGCATGGCTACATGGGCACCTTTATTACCGTCCCACTGAAGCGATACCTAATTATCTAACCTAATTATCATTCAATCTGAATTTCCTATATTACATTATTATATTACATTTCCTATATTCCTATATTACTATTCAGATTTTGTAAGTCATACTGAATTATTTATGATCCTGTTAGATTGCTCTGTTTTAATGATATTTCCTATGCTATTATACATTTTCATTCACCTTGTTGAACCAATTACTCTTTAATCAGCTCATATTTTTGGCCTCCCCGCCCCCCACCTTAGTTCTTGTGTTGCTTGATGCTTGTCTATTATTGTTATGTTTGTTCTATGTTTTTAAATTGCATTTTAATTGCTCTGCTTTTAATTGTATGTTTCCTAGGCTTGGCCCCATATAAGCTGCCCCGGGTCCCTTCGGGGAGATGGAGGCGGGGTAGAAAAAATAAAGTTCTTCTTCTTCTTCTTCTTCTTCTTCTACTACTACTACTACTACTACTACTACCTATTGATCTACTCATATTTGCATGTTTTTGAACTGCTAGGTTGGCAGGAGCTGGGGCTGACAGTGGCTGAGGGGAAAAAGGAAAGACCTGAAGCTATTAGGAATAATGGGAGTTGAAGTCCAAAACACCTGGAAGGCCAAAATTTGCCCCTGGCTGAGGTAGTGTCTCCCATGTCTGTGGAGTAATGAATCCACTCTGGATTTCTATCCAAACTTGAAAGGAATTCTCCAAGGTGCTGAACCACCTTTGAGGGCTTGGTCCAACACCTTGGATAACTTTTCTAAAGTTTGGATTACTTTCAAGGTGGGTTTACAAGGTGGGTTTACTGTCCCAAGACATGGAAATCACTACCTGGCACCTGGTCGTCTCCAAGCTTTTGGTAATGTTTACTGATCCATTGTGTGTGACTTGACAGGACTCTGAGAAATGCTTCCTGTGCGACTCTCGCTCAGCTTCCCTGCGCAAAAACCACCACATTGAGAATGTCATCTACCTAAGTGGTCCGGATGGGGAGCAGACCTGGTGGCAGTCGGAGAATGGTAAGAGCCATAGCAAGATTCAAGCATTTATTTATTTATATTTGAACACTAGCCCTTCAGAGGAACACCCTGGTACATTTAGATCCAAACATAAGCTACCAAACAGTAAATAGACATCCTTATTGCCATGCCCCTCTTTTCTTTACTGTGCTCAAGTTCATTGGCAGCTGCCTCAAAGGTGCCTCTCCTTCCTCACAAGGAGAGCCAGGACCAGAGCTACAATTAGTCAAGGTGAAACATAAACCCCAGGCAACAGATTTTGAGGGTCATGACAGGACAATACATCATACCCTCGAATTGATGCAACCTAGGAGAGACAGTCCCAGTTAATCCCCTTGTAATCCCATTTTTCCAGCGACATTTAAAATGCCCCAGTTTCTCTCCCCCCCCCCCACCTTCCTCCTTTGTCCTCAGCATACGTGGTTGGTGCAAATTAAGTTCAAAAGTAATTTATAGAATTAATGGGGATTGACAGCACTTAACTGCCATGGCTCAATGCTATGGAAGCCTGGGAGATGTAGTTTGGTGAGACACCAGCACTAGTTGGCAGAGATTATTGCAAAACTTGAGCCATGATAGTTAAAGTGATGAATCCACTCTGAATTTCTATCCAGACTTGAAAGGAATTCTCCAAGGTGCTGAACCACCTTTGAGGGCAGTTATTTAACTGCCATGGCTCAATGCTATGGAAACCTGGGAGATGTAGTTTGGTGAGACACCAGCACTATTTGGCAGAGATTATTGCAAAACTTGAGCCATGATAGTTAAAGTGGTGCCAAACTGCATTAATTCTACAGACACACCCTTAATTAAAAGGGGCTGCAGTGGTGCAACTGTTGAATCTGCTGACCTAAAGGTTGGCAGTCAGAAGCCGCAGGCCAAGGTAAGTTCCTGCTGTTAGCCCTAGCTTCTGCCAACCTAGAAGTTCAAAAACATGCAAATGTGACTAGATCAATAGGTACCGCTTCGAAGGGAGGGTAGTAAAGGTACCCATGCAGCCCATGCCGACAATGTGATCAGGTGGTGTCTACAGACAACAGGATCCTTGGCTTGGACATGGAACAAGAGCACCTCCCCATGGCCAGAGTTGAGAAACATCTCCAGAAAGCTGGAGATGGAAGGGGAAGCCTTTACCTTTATTCTGTGTATTTGTGTGTCATTGTTTTTCCACTGTATGAAAAGGCATTGAATGTTTGCCTATCTATGTATGTTGTACTCCCCTTTGAGTTCCCTCGGAGAGATAGAGCGGAATATAAATAAAGTGTTATTAATTAATTAATTAATCAACTCAGCTAAAAGGAGAGGAGGGATGAAACATTGCCCTTTTCAGTAAACTAAGGCAAAAGCAAACTGCTGCAGTAGCTCCTAGCTGGCACCGTGAAATAAAATCACAACCCTGGGTACACATACAAATATAAAATAGGTATAAAATTTAAACATTTACTGATAATAAATCAGCATTTGCAAGGCTTCCTAAATAGGCTTATTCCTCTCCAGCAAAGGATCACCGCCTTGTCGGGGTGCTGGAGCTTGAGCACCTCAATGATGTCATGAGCGAAACTGTGAAGGGCCACCCAAGACGGGACGGTTGTGGCAGATAGGTCAGACCAAGCGTGATCCCTGGGGAAGGCAATGGCAAACCACTCCAGTATCCTTGCCAAGAAAACTAAATGGACCAGTACAACCAGAGATACATCGGTATGCCATTGGAAGATGGGACTCCCAGGTCAGAGTATGGTCAAAATGCTACTGGGGAGGAGCAGAGGACAGCCCCAGATGTGTGACACAACTAGCTCAAAGCTGCTAGCAGCCGATGGTGCTGGAGGTGAATGACTAATCTGATGCTCTAAAGATCAACACACCATAGGAACCTGGAATGTAAGATCTATGAACCTAGGGCGAACTGGATGTTGTTATTGGTGAGATGTTAAGACTAAAGATAGACATTATGGGGGTCAGTGAACTGAAATGGACCAGAATGGGCCACTTCACATCCGATGACCACCAGATTTACTACTGCGGACAAGAGGAACACTGAAGAAATGGAGTAGCCTTCATAATTAATAAGAAATTCGCTAAAGCGGTGCTTGGATAAAACCCAAAAAATGACAGAATGATCTCAATTCGAGTGCAAGGAAAGCCTTTCAACATTACAGTGATCCAAATATACGCCCCAACCACAGCTGCTGAAGAAGCAGAAGTAGATCAGTTCTATGAGGATCTGCAGGACCTACTGGATAATACACCAAAAAGAGACAATATTTTCATTACAGGAGACTGGAATGCCAAGGTGGGAAGTCAAATGACAACTGGGATCACAGGCAAGCATGGTCTGGGAGCAGAGGCGGCCCTAGGTAATTTTCAATGGTAAGCAAACAGTATTTTGCCCCCCCCCCCAAAATCATTGATATATATTTTCTGTTTGTCGTGGGAGTTCTGTGTGCCATATTTGGTTCAATTCCATCATTGGTGGAGTTCAGAATGCTCTTTGATTGTAGGTGAACTATACATCCCAGTAACTACACGCCGCACTTGCTCCCTTGCCTGGCCCGCTTTGGGTCCGGAGGCGTGCCTGGGTCCGGAGGCATGCACCAAAAGTCACCTCTTCTCCTGACTTTCTCCTCAGCCATTGGGACCAAGAGAGAGAGAGAGAGAGAGAGGTGGAGATGCCCACCTTTCCTGAAGGTAGGCACAAAAACAAAGGAGGGAGCGGAGGTGGGAGATACCTCCAGCCAGAGGTCTCTCTCTCTCTCTCTCTCTCTTGGTCCCAATGGCTGAAGAGAAAGTCAGGAGAAGAGGCGATTTTGGTGCGCACGCTGGGGTCTTCAGACACGCCTCCGGACCCGAAGTGGGCCAGGCGGCGGGTGGAGCGCCGGGGGATCGGGAAAGGGAGCCGGTCATGGGGAAGGGATCAAACACGGAGAACAATTGGGCGCTGGCTCTGCTCGCGCACCCGGTGTCCGGGTGGAGCAGGAACGAGAGGGGCTAGGTGAGGCTCAAGGGCCCGGCTCCTTTGGGAAGAGGAAGAGGATCGCCCGGCAGCGAGGCAAGAAAGCCGAGGCTCCCCCCGGACTGCTAGGGCTGTTGTGAGCTGAGGGGGCGCTCCTCAAGTGGCGGTCGAGGGGCATTTACAGAGGCGCCTCTGCGCCCCTGGCAAAAAAAAGTGTTCTGCGACCGCTTACTTCGCGTAATGGACGAGCCGCCCTTGCCTGTCTGGGAAAACAAAAGGAAGTGAGACATAGGCTGATAGAATTTTTCTAGGAAAACTCACTGTGTACAACAAACACTATCTTCCAACAACCTAAAAGATGGCTTTATACATGGACTTCATCAGATGGTAAACACTGAAATCAGACTGACTACATCCTTTGCAGCCAAAAGGGGCGGACATCCATCCAGGTGGTGAAAACAAGACCTGGAGCTGACTGTAGTTCAGATCACGAAGTTCTTATTGCACAATAAGACTAGAGATTAGAGAAAACACACAGACCAGTTAGATATGATCTCACTAATATTCCTAGTGAATATGTAGTGGAGGTGAAGAATAGATTTAAGGGACTAGGTTTTAAATAGAGTCCCAGAAGAACTATGGACAGAAGTCCGAGACATTGTTCAGGAGGCGGCAACAAAGTACGTCCCAAAGAAAAAGAAAACCAAGAAGGCAAAATGGTTGTCTGCTGAGACACTGGAAGTAGCCCAAGAAAAGAGGAAAGCAAAAGGAAACAGGGATAAGGGGAGATATGCCCAGTTAAATGCGCAATTCCAGAGGTTAGCCAGAAGAGATAAGGAACTATTTTTAAATAAGCAATGCATGGAAGTGAGAAGAAGACAACAGAATAGGAAGGACAAGAGACCTCTTCCAGAAAATTAGAAACATTGGAGGTAAATTTCAGGCAAAAATTGGTATGATAAGAAACAAAGATGGCAGGGACCTAACAGAAGCTGAAGAATCAAGAGAAGGTGGCGAGACTATACAGAAGATCTGTATAGGAAGGATAATAATATTGAGGATAGTTTTGACGGTGTGTGAATGAATTAGAACCAGATATCCTGAGGAGTGAGGTTGAATGGGCCTTAAGAAGCATTGCTAAAACAAGGCAGCAGGAGACAACCAATAACTGAACTGTTTAAAATCTTGAAAGAGGATGCTATTAAGGTGATGCATGCCATATGCCAGCAAATATGGAAAACAAAGGAATGGCCATCAGACTGGAAAACAATCAACTTATATCCCCATACCAAAAAAGGGAAATGCTCAAGACTGGGTTGTTGTAGGTTTTTTTAATTAAATAGCAGATGATACCAAAGATCCTGCAAGGAAGACTCCAGCAATACATGGAGCGAGAGTTGCCAGATGTTCAAGCTGGGTTTAGAAAAGGCAGAGGAACGAGAGACCAAATTGCCAATATAATGGATAATGGAGAAAGGCAGGAAGTTTCAGAAAAACGTCTATTTCTGTTTTATTGACTATTCTAAAGCCTTTGAATGTGTGAATCATAATAAATTGTGGCAAGTTTTTGGTGGTATACCAAATCACTTTGTCTCTTTCCTGAGGAATCTGTATAATGACCAGGTAGCAACAGTAAGAACTGACCATGGAATAACAGACTGTTTCAAGATTGGGAATGGTGTACGGCAGGGTTTACTCTCACCCAACCTTTTTAACTTGTATGCAGAACACATCATGCGATGTGCGGGGCTGGATGAATGCAAAGCTGGGGTGAAAATTGCTGGAAGAAACATTAACAACCTCAGATATGCAGATGACACCACCCTGATGGCCGAAAGTGAGGAGGAGCTGAGGAGCCTTCTAATCAAGGTGAAAGAAGAAAGCGCAAAAGCCGGGTTGCAGCTAAACGTCAAAAAAACCAAGATTATGGCAACAAGAATTATTGACAACTGGAAAATAGAGGGAGAAAACGTGGAGGCAGTGACATACTTTGTATTCCTAGGTGCAAAAATTACTGCAGACGCAGACTGCAGCCAGGAAATCAGAAGATGCTTACTTCTTGGGAGGAGAGCAATGTCCAATCTCGATAAAATAGTGAAGAGTAGAGACATCACACTGGCAACAAAGATCCGCATAGTCAAAGCCATGGTATTCCCTGTAGGAACCTACGGATGTGAGAGCTGGACCTTAGGGAAGGCTGAGCGAAGGAAGATCAATGCTTTTGAACTGTGGTGTTGGAGGAAAGTTCTGAGAGTGCCTTGGACTGCGAGAAGATCCAACCAGTCCATCCTCCAGGAAATAAAGCCCGGACTGCTCACTGGAGGGAAAGATACTAGAGACAAAGTTGAAGTACTTTGGCCACATCATGAGGAGACAGCAAAGCCTAGAGAAGACAATTATGCTGGGGAAAGTGGAAGGCAAAAGGAAGACGGGCCGACCAAGGGCAAGATGGATGGATGGCATCCTTGAAGTGACTGGACTGACCTTGAAGGAGCTGGGGGTGGTGACGGCCGACAGGGAGCTCTGGCGTGGGATGTTCCATGAGGTCATGAAGAGTCGGAGACAACTGAACGAATGAACAACAACAACAACAACTGTACAGTGTGAAAGGGTCTGCTGAATCATTTTTTGCAGCATTCACTGTAAATACTTCACATTTTTCCTAACACATGCGTATAAATGGGTGATGACCAGAAACCTTTTACTGTTGCCAATTTTTTCATGACCTGATATTGAGCTAAGGGTTGAGAGCCACACTTTAAGAAGCAATGATCTAGACCATTCTCTGCTGTAAAGATAAAATGAGACTCTGTAGTAGTTTGTGTGTTGGACTAGGACTATAGGAGGCCAAGCTTTGGATCCCTGCTTAGTTGTGGAAACCCACTGGGTGACTTTGGGGAGGTTACAGTCTCCCAGCCTCAAGGGAAGGCAATGGTAAGCCTCTTCTGAATGAATTGTGCCAGAAATATACCTCAATGGGATTGTCATAAGTTATAGCCACCCAGAAGGCACATGGTGACAAATAAAAGCAAACTAAAATGCATTTGTACACATCTTCCATGACATATAATTTTACCTGAAATCATATGTATATCAGTGACAATTCTTTAGAGTGCTTTGAAAATGGTATTATGGAGCCATTGTTGCCTGTGGGCACTTGGATTTGTGCTTCTTTCAGTCTTACTGTGGTTTGCAGTTAAACCACAGGCGTGGTTTCAGGTGTTTGAAGTCTTAGGGAGAGGAGCCTAGAAATTGAACCACAACAAAGGGGAAAATGAAGCTACATGGCCACAGGCTATAGCAATTCTACCAACTCATTTTCAATGCTCTGAAATAAACTGCATTGCCTGAGGCACTCTCTAAAGGAATATGTGAGCACAGCCAGACGTGGGTGGAAGAAAAACGATTGAGGAGAAGGCTGGCATCATAACCTGCATCCAAGAGCATCACTTTTCTGATGTACATAAGAGGTGCTTGCTGAGCCTGACTAGAATCTTCCAAACAGCCATGCATTTGAAGTAGGTTGCTTCAGTGTTGGTGGGTGAGTGGTGAATCTCCTCTAGGTTTGAATGATAATTTTAAAAGAACAGTCCATGGTGCTGAAATTGGAGAGCCAGAAGCGATCTCAAGAGCCATACAATCAAACCTCCTTCTGCCATGCAAGAACACACACTCAAAACACCCCCGACAGATAGCCATCCAGCCTCTGCTTAAAAACCTCCAGAGAAAGAGACTCCACCACACTCCCAGGCTGTATATTCCACTATCAAAAAGCTCTTACCCTCAGGAAGTTCTTCCTAATGTTTAGGTGGGAGTATTTTTGCACAATTTGAATCCCTTGCTCAGTCCTGGTTTCCAGAGCAACAGAAGACAAGCTTGATCCTCCCTCAATGTGACATCTTTTCAAATATTTAATCATGGTTTTCGTGTCCCTTCTCACTCTTCTGTTTTCTAAGATAAACATCTCAATTTCCCTCATCTATTCCCACTAAAGCTTCATTTCCAAGCCATTGATCAAATTGGTCGCCCTTCTCTGGACATGTTCCAGCTTGTCCTTCCTGAATTGTGGTGCCCAGAACACAACACAGATTTATTCCAGGTGAGACCTAACCAGAGGCGGCCCTAGGTAATTTTCAACGGTAAGCAAACAGTATTTTGGCGCCCCCACCCCACCCCCGAACCAATCACTGATATATATTTTATGTTCGTCGTGGGAGTTCTGTGTGCCATATTTGGTTCAATTCCATCATTGGTGGAGTTCAGAATGCTCTTTGATTGTAGGTGAGCTATACATCCCAGTAACTACAACTCGCATATGTCAAGATTCTATTTTCCCCCAAGAGCGCCTCAAGAGCGCCCCTGGGCAAAATCAACTATACTGCAAATGCTTACTTGGCTTAATGGGTTAAGCCACCCCTGGGCCTAACCAAAGCAGAATAAAGGAGGACTATGACTTCCCTCGATCTAGGCACTGTGCTTCTATTGATGCAGTCTCAAATAATATTGATTTTTTTAAACTGCCACATTGTACTGTTGGCTCATGTTCAGCTCTTAGGTCAAAATTCCTAGATCTCCACATACACTGATTTCAAACCTGGTGTCACTTGCCCTTTATATGAGCATTTCATTTTTAATTGTACTGTACATTTTCCCCTGCTGAAATTCATTTTGTTAGTCTGTTCAGGTCATTCTAATACTCTCTATTTATATTCCGCTCTCTCCCCCTGAGGGGACTTAGAGCAGATTATAGTATACCAGGCATAGGCAAACTTTCTAACTTGGGGGCCACATGGCAGGCTGGAGTGGTTGGAAGGGCCTCAATGAGACACCCTATTTTGAAACATGGTTCTCATGTTCCCTTTCTACCTTCCCTTCTCCCAGCTAAACATCCCCTGGGAGGAAAGGAGGAAGGAAAAAGAGAAGGAAGAGAGGAAGAGAGGAAGAAAGGGAGGAAGAGAAGAACGGAAGACTGGAAGGGAATGGAGGGAAGGATGGAGAAAGGAAAGAGAGAAAGAAGGAAAGACAAAAGGAAAAGAAGGAAGAAAAGAGGGAAGGAGATAGAAAGAGGGAAGAAGAGAGGAAAGAGGGAAGGAATGAAGGATGAAATGGTGGAAGGGAAGGAAGGAGGGAGAAAGAAAGAGGGAGGGAGGGAGGGAGGGAGGGAGGTGTTACAGTAAGTTGTAACAGGCTCAAGTGTGTGTATGTGTGTGTGTGTTAAAGAAAACCGTATGCTGTTAATCATTATGTGCAGCTGCTAATGTAGGTCAGCTAGTAAGTTTGGACCACACTCAGTGGGGTATAACTGTATAGTTTTTAGAATACAGTTCAGCTTTTGTTCTGAGGAGCCTTTGCTCAGGCATTTTGCTCAACCATTTCTACTGCTCTCTCATTTGGATGAAGATGAAGAAATCTTATTCTGCTTACAAAGACTATGTAAGTTTGTTGCACTCTTTGTAACATTGCAAGTTTATGTTTTCACTCTGCTGATAAGAGTAAAGTTTTTCTTTTTTTCCCTCTTGCCTGGGTGCAATGTTATTGTGTCTTCTGCATTGGAATTGACTGAAATACACTTAGTGCAACAGGAGGGAGGGAGAGAAGGAGGAAGAAAAGAGAGAAGGAATGAAGGATAGGCTGGTGAGAAGAGGGCCTGAGAAAAGACCCCAAGGGACCACATCTGGCCCCCGGGCCTGAGTTTACCCATACCTGCAGTATATACAGAGACAACATTCAATGCCTAATTTCCTAAAGTGAAGAACGCTTGAACAGAGCTCTTGAAGGAGATCTAATTTCTGTCTTTCTCTTGTATTTCAGGTGTTGAAGAGGTCAGCATCCGCTTGGACCTGGAAGCCGAGTTTCATTTTACTCACCTCATAATGAAGTTTAAGGTACTTGGAACTCTATGTAGGCACAGAACTCTATTAGATGGCTTCATAGGAACCTGTATAAAATTATAAACTTATAGAGCCACAAAGTTGGAAGAGACTCCAAGGGCCATCCAATCCAACCCCATTCTGTCTTTAGGAACACATATCCAAAACACATATCCAAAACACTCCCAACAGATGGCCACCCAGATTCCATAATGCTCCAAGACAGCAGCATATTCCACAGTTAAACACCGCAGAATTCCCACCACTTCATTATTCTTCCCAACTAGTTTTTCCAAAGATCAGATTTTGGGGCTCCCAAATGAATAGCTGCAAATACTGACTTGATGAATGGATTTGAGGTAGTGATGAAAGAAGGCAGTTATGCTGAGGAAAGGTGATAAAACCCAGCTTTCTATTTTACGCTTTTTTTCCTGCAGACTTTCCGCCCAGCTGCCATGTTGATTGAGCGCTCATCCGATTTTGGGCGCAGCTGGAAAGTGTATCGCTATTTTGCCTTCAACTGCTCCAAACTCTTCCCTGGCATCCCCACTCAGGTTCCAGCACATGTCAACCAGGCCGTCTGTGACCAGCGATACTCAGAGATTGAGCCCTCCAGCCACGGTGAGGTCAGTATGGGGCCATGCAGCTGGGGAGCGGCAGAGCTGCAGAAGGGCAGCACCAGCTTGTGAAAAGCCACATCTGCATTGCAATATAGTGCACTTTGAAACTGTTCGTTATATATTCAATGTAGAATCAAATAATACAAGTTAACGGCATTACATAGGACTACATCAGGCATGGGCAAACTTTGGCCCTTCATGTGTTTTGGACTTCAACTCCCACAATTCCTAACAGCAGGTAGGCTGTTAGGAATTGTGGGAGTTGAAGTCCAAAACACATGAAGAACCAAAGTTTTCCATGCCTGACCTGCACCCACCAAAAAAATGCAGCTTCAAATTGCATTATATGGCAGTGTAGGTGGGGATCTCTCTTTGTCAGTTCTGACTGTGACTTACTTTACTAGCTACTCTGAAATACCCCCAGCCCAAGCCCCATCTACCCTACCAAATAATGAAGTTGACTGCATTGAACAGCATTATAGGGCAGTGTATAATGAACTGTGCTATATGTTAGTTTCACTGTATTGAGCTGCATTCTATTGAGTCTATAGTATCACATAAGAGAGTAGACTTAAATGAATGAGTTGTTTATTGTACTAGCCATAGGCCATGATATCAAATAATACACAACTTTTAAAAGTACAGTATACACTTTCCAATATAAATATTAAAACTTATTGTATAAACTAGCTCTTTCAAATCACAATAGCAGTGACATGTTACTAACTAAGGCGCCATACAGGGAGAGAACCACTGGTTGCCGGGCTGCTTCTGGGCTAAATACAAAGTGCTGGTCATGAGCTATAAAGCCCTAAATGGTTTGGGTCCAGGCTATTTGTTCAGTCTCATCTCCCCATATAGGTCATCTTGTGCACTGCAGTCAGTGAAGGAGGCCCTGCTCTCGCTCCCACCCCCATCACAAGCTCAGTTGGTGGGAACGAGAGAGGGGGTCTTCTTTGTGATTGCTCCCCATCTCAAGAACTCTCTCCTTAAAGAAATAAAAACAGCCCCACCCTCCTCTCCTTAAAAAAAAACTCTTGAAAACACACGTATGCACTTTAGCATATGGAGAGAAGGAAGACTAGGACACTTCTTTAAAATTAATTCCATCAGAACGCTGGCTAACTTATCTGTATTCCATTGCTGCTATGGTACACCTTTAAAGAACAACTACAATAACCATTTTATGTAATTTAATCATTTCCTTAGGGTATATGTTTTAATGTTAATTATGTTATCAGCATAATTATGCTTTATTCAATTATTTGTATTCTGTTTTTCATTTTGATGTTAACTCTTTTTGTTATATATGTTTTTGTTATTTTTTTGTATTATTCTGATGTGTTTGTATTTGTTTTAGGGCATTGAATGTTTTCCTTTTGGTTTGTAAACCGCCTTGAGTCTGCTCGAGAAGATAAATAAAGTTTTTTAAAATTTATTATTATTATTCACAAGCCCCATAAGCATGATAACAATGACAATATCTGATTTGTATTATCCCTAACTGTTTCCATTTCTATTTCTGGCCCCCGTTGGGGACTTTACAAATTTAGCTCAGATTTTTTGGTCCGCAACTGCAAATGTGGCAATCTTTAATGTTATATTTTTGCAATAGTCTGCTAACAGGTTGCAGATAACTGCTGACTGTTGCCATGCTGCCCTTTCTTCCAAAAAGGCTTCAAGGAGATTGTTTTCGGGGTCATTATACAAAGGGCAATGTAACAGATAGTGTATTAAATCTTCTCTTCTCCCCCTACCTACAAATATAACGTTGTTGAGCATGCGGGATTGCTCTATCTCCCCTCTAACCAGCCTGATGCCATTGTCTGGAAGGTCAGAGCTATACATGCTTTCCTGAAGGGTACAGACATTAAGTCTTGAACAACATTGGCAACAGTGCTCACTCTTTATTAGGGGTTACCAAGTAGTGAAACCCGGCTGTTTACTAGTCTGCAAGTTGTCAGATGCACTCATCTCAAATATTTTATCTCTAATCACCTTCTTGTCCAACTGCAATCGGGTTGTTGTTGACCCATCAAAATATTGATGGAGCAGGGAAGTGTAGGCTTATATAATCCAATTCACATCAGTTAAACAGCATTACATGGCAATGTAGATGGGGCCCTAGTTTATCTTACTGTCCAGATGCTAGAACAGCAATTGAAGCTTTGATTAACACTAAAGTTCAGAGAAAGGGATACAACAGCGTAACAGAACATAGGTTTCCTCTACTGCAGATTCTGGATTCAATCCAGGTCAAGCAGTGGCATTCTTGAAGTGAGTGGATTGACCTTGAAGGAGCTGGGGGTGGTGACTGCCGACAGGGAGCTCTGGCGTGGACTGTTCCATGGGGTCACAAAGAGTCGGAAACGACTGAACAAATGAACAACAACAACAAGAGCAGTGATAGATTGCTGCCTGAAACCTTGGGCACTTCTACACTGACAATTTAATGCACTTTCAAATGGGTATTTTGTTATTGTGTGTTTATTATGTTGTATTATTTTGGGCCTGGCCTCATGTTAGCTGCCCCGAGTCCCCTCTGGGGAGATGGTGGTGGGGTATAAATAAAGTGTATTATTATTATTATTATTATTATTATTATTATTATTATTATTATTTATTGTAGTGAATGGTTTCACTGTGCAGATGATTACATCGAAAATTCTGGAGCCAGTTTGAGGCCCAAATGGTCCACAAGCCACAGAGCACTGATGCGCATTAAGAGCTTCCTTTCTCACACTTTCATGGGAGTTTGTTGTGTGGCTGCCACAGCTAGTTTTGAACTGCATTAAATGGTCAATACAAATGGTGTCCTCTAAGATTTATCCCCAGTAAACAGCACCAATCTGAACGAACTATTGCTCTGACTAGATGTACCCAACTTGCTAAACTCAGAGAGAGCAATATAGGTCAATTTTGTTTCAAAAGTTTTATTTTGTTCCAAAGTACCTCAACATGCCTTCCAGGAGACATGCTCCCTCCGCCTTGCTTCTCTTTATTTTATTTGGGAAGATTTGTGCATGTTCTTCTTAATCTTATTCTGCAGGTGATTTTCAAAGTGTTGGACCCAGCTATAAAAGTAGAAGATCCCTACAGCCAGGAAATCCAAGGTACAACTGCAAGTAGAAAGAGCAATAACAGAAGTAGAACGTGGAGGTTATTGGAGTCCTTGTTTAAAATATTGTATAAACATAAGACCAGCCTTCTCAAATCTGGCACCCTCCAGATCTTTTGAACTACAACTCCCCTAAAGTCTGGAATATACAGAGTAATATCATAGCCTGAGTTGGAACAAATAGAGAAATGAGAGCTTGGAAATGGTATATTGTTGTATAGCAAAACCACTTTGGCACATAGGACTTGGAAAATTGCATTTTATAGCAAAATAATCCATATCTTCAGCGTGATTTTTTTTCAATCCCTGTGAAAATAATTTACAGATGGATTTGCTACCTTTTGGAAACAAGCCCCACATACAGATAAAAAAAATTGTAGGACCAAGCTGAAAATGGGGGACTTGGGGCCCTTTCACACAGCCATATAACTCAGAATATCAAGGCAGATAATACACAATATCTGCTTTAAATTGGATTATCTGAGTCCACACTGTCATATAATCCAGTTCAATGTGGATTTTATACAGCTGTGTGGCAGGGCCCATAAAGGAGTGAAGCCATAGTAATTATTTATTATTTTTTATTTATTTGCTATATTTCTATAGCGCCATTCTCAGCCCGAGGGCGACTCATGGTGGTTTTCAGAACCTCACTACCTCTGGGGATGCTTGCCATAGATGCAGGCGAAACGTCAGGAGAGAATGCCTCTAGAACATGGCCATACAGCCCGAAAAAACTTACAACAACCTGGTTTACAGAACGGCACAATTCGATGCCCACAACAATATAAAACCAGTTAAAACATTTAGCATAGATAAAATTCAATTAATTAGTAAAACCAATAAAACAAAGATCCTCTGCGTCTCATTACCAAAGTCACTGTCCAATTAAAGAGCCAAAATGATGTATCAACAAATGGTTCCTCTCCTACCCAGATTTGTTACGTGTCACCAATTTGCGGGTGAACTTCACAAAGCTGCACACTCTGGGGGACAACCTCCTGGACTCTCGACTTCAGGTGCTTCAGAAATACTACTACGCTGTGTATGAGCTGGTGCTGCGTGGAAGCTGCTTCTGCTATGGACATGCCTCGGAGTGCGCTCCTTTGGCTGGAGTGACAAATCTAGTTGAAGGCATGGTAAGGCACAGGAGGCGGGTTTAGGGTTGGAATTTGGATGGGCGACCAGGGCATTCCTATAGTCGGGAAGAGAGAATAATGCAAGATGCCGCTAGAGGACCAAAGAGCCTCATATGGGGTTGAATACAACATAATGTAATTTCCCTTGGAGTTAGTGGTCTGCCTGAGAATGGGCCCCTTTTTATAATATTCCTAGCTTAGGTACCTGGTGTTGCCCCGGTTAGATATTTTATCATGTTTTTTATTAGAAATAGTTATTGTTTGTTTTGGATTTTATGAATGGTCCTATTAAAAATGTATGACCTTATAACTGAACCATTTATAAAATGATAGAGGTGATTGGGTGGAACTCCCCTCAACCCAAGATCTAATCAGAACTCCCATCATCCTCTGTCAATCTCCCCAGACCCCACCAGTAAATTAAGTTGATCATGATGGGTATATGTGCCAAGTTTGGCCCAGATCTATGATTGACATGATTTGTATGTCTCTATATATATGGGGGATTGCTATTCCCATCATCCTCTGTTATAACCTCCCGAACTCTGCCTGCATTTAAAGATGGATATGTGTGCCAAGTCTGGTCCAGATGCAGCTTTGGTGTGATTCATATGGCCTCACCAAGTTATAATTCCCATTGTTCCATAGCATTGAATCATGGCAATTAAAGTGGTGTCAAACTGCATTAATTCTACAATGTAGATGCACTCTCCCCTGACCTATCTCCTTCTGCTCCAGATTCATGGTCGATGCGTCTGCAAGCATCATACGAAAGGCCTCAACTGTGAACTCTGCAAGGACTTTTACCAGGAGTTGCCTTGGAGGCCAGCTGAGGCCCATGATTCACACGCCTGCAAAGGTGAGTGGGTGGGTGTCTGTACTGAATTATATAGTCCAACAGCTGACAGGGACAGATATATCCCTGGAGGAGGGGATCTATATGTTTCGGTAGGTTGTTAATTTATTTATTTATTTTATTTATATCATTTTTACCCCTCCCATATCAGCCCGAAGGCGACTCAGGGCGGAAGAATTGTGGGAGTTGAAGTCCATAAACACCTGGAGGGCTGAAGTTTCTCCATTCCTGGTTTAAATTGTGTAGCCAGTGGTTGCAAGCAAGGTCTTGACGGAGACCTGAAAATTGTGCATTCCTACAGAAATGTGTGCATTTGCATAATGTTCTGGCAGCATAACTTGCATTGCTCCTGTGGTTTCCCTGCAGAGTGCAACTGCAATGAGCACTCACATCGGTGCCACTTTGACATGGCTGTGTACCTGGCCACGGGCAACACCAGTGGCGGGGTCTGTGACGAGTGCCTACACAACACCATGGGGCGCCACTGCCAGCTCTGCAAGCCCTTCTACTATCGCAACCCAATGGCTGACATCCGCGCAAGCACTGCCTGCATCCGTGAGTATTCCCTCATTCTATGCAGTGGTGTGAAGCTCATTTTCTGTTATGCTCCAGAGGATATTAACCTGAGAGTCATCTTGGAGGACCTAGAGATTCCTAGAAAAGGGCTGCAGTGGCACAGTGGGTTAAATCCTTGTGTTGCTGAACTGCTGACCTGAAGGTCGGCAGTTCGAATCCGTGGGACATGGTGAGCTCCTGCTGTTAGCCCTAGCTCTTGCCAACCTAGCTGTTTGAAAACATGCAAATGTGAATAGATAAATAGGTACCACTTTTGCGGGAAAAGGCAAAAAGACACTCCAAGAAGCTTTGCCAGCCATATGACCAGAAGGTGACAACGCAGGCTCCTTGGCTTGGAAATGGAGATAAGCACCTCCTCAGAGGCAGAGATGAGCATTGCCTCCAGAAGCTTGAAATGAAAGGAGAAGCCTTTGTCTTTGCTTGTGTTTGTGTGTCTCTTGTATGGGATTGTAAGGCATTGAATGTTTGTCTATGTCTTCTGTATATGCTGTAATCCCCTTTGAGTCCCTTAGGGGAGAAGGGCAGAATATAAATAAAGTGTATTATTATTGTTGTTGTTGTTGTTGTTGTTGTTGTTGTTGTTGTTGTTGTTGTTGCTGCTGCTGCTGCTACTGCTGCTACTGCTGCTACTATTATTTTTTTTGATAACCTGGCAAGAATTACTCTGATTCTTGCTCTTTTGGATAGTGGCAAGAGTTATGAGAAGGGATATGTTTATCCCAATTTCCTGACTGAGAGCCTGGCATTGTTTGCAGTGCTTTTGCACCTTTAAATTCTGATTCCGCGGGTTCCTGACTCTGATTCAGCTCCTCATACCTGTCCATAATGAGTATGATTATTCCAAATGTATCTGCCTCACTATCTCTTCTTTTTGTCCCATAGCCTGTGACTGTGATCCAGTGGGCTCACTGGATGGTGGCGTGTGTGATAGTCATACAGATGTGGCCTTGGGCATGATCGCGGGGCAGTGCCGCTGCAAGGACAATGTCAAAGGCGTGCGTTGTGACAGCTGCAAAGAAGCCTTCTATGGACTGAGCCAGAACGACCCTCTGGGTTGCCAGCGTTAGTATTGGTGACTGTCTAGGGTGACTTTATAAGAGGGGACAAACACATCCCAACTTTGTAGGTATAGGTGGGGAAACCAACAGTGGTAGTATGGCTATAGAGCTCGCAAGTGATTTGGGCTGGATCTACACTGCCATATATCCCAGGATCTGATCCCAGATTGAACTGGATTATATAAATTTCAACAGCCAGATAATCTGGGATAAGAAGATAATTTGATATCAGGTCCCGGGATAAAGAGAAGCATAGATCCAGTCTTGGAGAACTGTGGCTTGATTGCAGAGTCTCAGCCTACAGATAAATATTATTATCATAGAATAGTGGGACCACTTGGAAAGCACATTTACTATCCTTAGTATGGATGTATGTCACTCTCTGCAGAATCAAGCTTTGGAAAAAATTTAAAAATATTTACAAGTGTTTTGCTTGGAGCTGATTGGCTAATGTGTCAGTGCTTTGAAGAATATTTATTCTTGCCAATGTTTAAACATTAATGTTTCCAAACAACCTATAGGCAGTCATCTTAGAGCTTGTGGAGAAGGATGAAGTAAAAGCTAACACTGTTTTACATGATAAAATGGAAGGAATTGGGGCACATTATATTAATACATACTGCATCTTTTGGAAAAAGCATAACTTTTTGGGGAAAGGATCCATAACCTTTTGGAAAAAAACAGAATCTCCAAAGCCTTTTGGAAATGTGATCTTTTGGAGATTAATTGAAAAAACATAACCTTTTTGTAAAGTATGATCGTCTGAGTGAATCTTCTCTTTAGTGGAAAAAATCCATTAGTATTCATGCAAGGCAAATTAGGTTTCTCAGTTATTAGACTTATCTCTTTGAATTGTTAGGAGCAAAGATTATGCTAATGCACAAGATATATAGCAGATCTCTAGAAGTGTTATTTCAGTTACCCAAAACATCTACTCTCCCATAAAATATATTTGGTTTTAAATCATGCTCTCTAGAGACAAAAATAAGTAGTCTTCATTAAAAATAAATAGGAATTAAAAGATGCTAGCAAAATCAACACAGAAAAAGAAAATGGAAGGAATGATAAATATGATAAAAGATAAAACAGGTAAATTATGTAGAGCTATGAAAGAAAAATTGAAAGTATTTGAAGAATTTTATAAAGAGCTGTACCAAACCAAAGCAAGCCCCATAGAGGCAATTAGGAAATATGTGGAGGAAAATTGGGAGAGTAAGCTGGAAGAGGAAGATAAAGAATTACTGGAACAACCTATTAAGAAAAAAGAAATAGAGGAAGTTATTAAGAAATTAAAAGTTGGCAAAGCTCCGGGCTTGGATGGTTTAGGGACAGAATATTATAAAAGCTTTAGAGAAGTTTTAACCCCAAAATTATTAGAATTGTACAATGGAATAATGAAGGGAGATAAAATACCCGAATCATGGAGGAAATCATTAATAATATTAATACCTAAACCTGATAAAGACCTAACAGACCCAGGGTCATATAGGCCCATATCATTAATTAATCAGGATGCAAAGATATTGTCCGCGATAATAGCTAATAGAATGAATAAATGTATGTATAAGTACATAAAAGAAGATCAGTGCGGGTTTATAAAAGGAAGACAAATGTCAAATTTGATAGGGAGAGTACTAAATAAAATTCATTGGGCTAAAGAGGGGAAAGAAAAAGCAGGGATATTATCATTAGATATTTTTAAAGCGTTTGATTGTGTGGAATGGGAGACATTAAGGGAAATATTGAATAAATTCGGAATGGGAAATAGAATAAAAGGAGTATTAAAACAATTTTATTCAAGGAACTCGGCAGTGGTAACTATAAATGATGGAGTGACAAACGAAATAAAAGTGACTAGAGGAACTAGACAAGGGTGCCCTTTGTCCCCGATACTATTTGCCATGGTGATAGAACTGTTTGCTAATAACATAAGGAATGACAAAAATCTAGAAGGGTTAGGAAAAAAGGAGAAACAGAAGGTGAGTTTATTCGCTGACGATACATTGTTATTTATAGAAAATATAGTGGAGAAAATGGATAGAATAAAAGAACATTTGGAGATATTTGGGAAAGCAACAGGCTTACAAGTTAATTGGAGTAAGTCAGAAATGATGCTACTTAATTATACAAGAGAAGAAGAAAAAGATCTTATAGAACAGAGCAAAGGGGGAATAAGAATCAAGAACAAACTAAAATACTTGGGAGTAATAATAACTAAGGATTTAAAAGAGATAGAGGAAGTAAATGTAGTAACATTAAGGAAAGAAGTCCAGAAAAAGTTAATAGAGTACGAAGGTATACGCTTATCCTGGTTTGGAAGAATAGCATTAGTAAAAATGAAAATACTTCCAAAAATAAATTTTATATTTAGGATGCTACCACTTCAAATTACAGAAGAAGAACTAACTAGATGGCAACAAATGATTAATAAGTACTGTAATGGAAGTAAAAGGAACAGACTAAATAAACAATTATGGTATAGATCGCAAAAGGAGGGTGGACTGGCGTTACCTAATATAAAAAAATATTACGAAGCAAGTAGATTAAGTTTGGTTATAGAAGGAATGGTCAAAGAAGAGGGAATAGATTGGCTTAGTAATGATTCAGGAAAAGTGGAAGATGAAACTTGGAATATATTTTTTAAACAGTTTACTAGAAAAGAAATGAGGGAAATTAGAAACCCAATGCTGAGCAATATACTTAAAGTATGGAATAAATATAAGGGGAGGTTAATAAAGGAGGGATCAATTATAACCCCAATAGTGATGGAAAAGAAGTTCCCAAAAAATTTAAAAAAAGTAATGGATAAAAAGGTAAGGGAAATAAATTTAGATAGGATAGGGGATTGGATGAAGGTGGAAATGAAGAGGGAAAGGATGTTGGAAGAGTTTAAAGAAATAAAATTGTCATGGTTTCATTGTATACAATTAGAACAATGGGTAATAAATTGGAAAAAAAATAATAGAAGTGAAAGCCAACTCAGTCAATTCGAACAAATAATACAGAAGGGAAGGACTGTAGAAGAACACGAAAACTTGAGAGGTATAATTAGCAAAATTTATAAGATAATAATTGAAATGAAAGATGAAAAAACAAAAAAGTGCACCCTTAAAGAGATTTGGGAAGAAGATTTAGGGATAAAAATAAGCGAAATAGAGTGGCAACAATTATGGGGACAAAGACATTTAAAAAATTTATCGATACGAGTTAAAGAAAATTATTACAAGTTAATATGGAAGTGGTACTTGACACCGGTAAGAATAGCATATATGAATAAAAATAACTCAATAAATTGTTGGAGAGGGTGTCAAGAACCAGGAACATATATACACATGTGGTGGCAATGTAAATACGTAAATAGCCATTTCCAACAGCATCTGATTTCACGATCTGCATAATGTCAGGAAAGTATCCTACTGTTTGTAGAAAGGTGAACATAAGTCAGTGAAAGAGCATTCATTTGATGTGTGTTTTGGAGGTACCAGCTTCAGTTGCTTGGCATCACAAGAAATGGGCAAAGTGATTCCCTTGTGGCTGTATGATATAACCAAAGTTGGCCTCAATACCATCATTTTCTAACCAAAGGAAGAATTGTTTCTACAAGAAGCAGCCAAAAGTAACAGTTCGCTTTTGCATTGATTGTGGTCCGCTTGCACTGTTTAACATTAAAAAAAACAACAACACTTTTTTTACCGCTACTGCATGGAGAGGAACCAGCAGAGGGTTCCCCAAAGAGTCTCCCAAAGGCATAAAAGTGTCCTGCTGAGATAAAACATCTAAATGCCCTAGCAGTCTGGTATCTGTCAGAGTGAATAATATTGTGCTAGAGGATAAACACTTTGATCTTTGAAGATCAACTTCTCAACTTTCTGTACCAGCCATAGAGACTGTGCATTGTACCGGTTTTCTGTTGGTTCTTAGTGCCTGTGTGAAATATTCCAGTTTCTGGACATTCGGAAGCAGGAAAGCTCAAACAACAATCCAAATCTTTCGAATGGCTAAGGCCTATGGGTTTTAGGTGTTGCCTTCAAAGCAAAGTGCCCCCGGTGCTAGGTGCAGGCTGCTAGGAATTGTGGGAGTTGAAATCCAAAACACCTGGAGGGCCCAAGTTTGCCCATGCCTGGTATAGGGTGAGCTGGAATCTATGAGCCTTTTAAACCAGGCCAGGAAGTAGTGATACCACATCATTTTTGCTCTGTAAAATTGCATTAGAAATCAGGAAACCTATGAAAACTGGTGCTGTGTTTTCAGCCTGCAGGTGTGACCCCCGTGGGATCATTGCAGGGAACAGCCCTTGTGACCATATCAGTGGTGACTGCTATTGCAAGCGTTTTGTCACAGGGCGATATTGCAACCAGTGTCTGGTAAGTAAATGATATAGCATTAGACTAGGGGTGTGAAACTCATTTTCATTGGGGACCACACCTGCCTTATGGTTGTGTTCAAAGGGCCATTGAATCCATGGATGGAGAACTATAGAGTTTTTACATAGTGGTTGGTGCTCTTTAGGTTTTTTTTCCCCTCAGTGTGGGTCCTCAAATGTCATTGAATGATAACTTCCATCAGTTTTGATGATCTGCCCTGTGCACTGGGGATAATGAGAATTGTAACTTGATGACTTTGAGGTTGGGGAAGGGTTAAAGGACATTTTAAAGTCAAACACCATATCCACAAGCCTTGTATCTACATTCAAATCCCACTCTCCTGACAAAACACAAACTGCACCCCTCCAGATGTGACTGCACCCCAACTCCCATCAGCTCTAATCATGATGCAAATGATGAGGAATACAGCAGTTGGTGTCCAGCATCTGGAGGGACACATGAGATGACAGGCCGGATTTGGCCAACGGGCCTTGAATCATAGAATCATCGAGTTGAAAGAGACCTCGTAGGCCATCCAGTCCAACACCCTGCCAAGAAGCAGGAATATTGCATTCAAAGCACCCCCGACAGATGGCCATCCAGCCTCTGTTTAAAAGCCTCCAAAGAAGGAGCCTCCACCACACTCCAGGGCAGAGAGTTCCACTGCTGAACAGCTCTCACAGTCAGGAAGTTCTTCCTAATGTTCAGGTGGATCTAGACAGTATACTCCTATACTCCAGGGCAGAGAGTTCCACTGCTGAACGGCTCTCACAATCAGGAAGTTCTTCCTCATGTTCAGATGGAATCTCCTTTCTTTAGTTTGAAGTCATTGTTCCGAGTCCTAGTCTCCCGGGAAGCAGAAAACAAGCTTGCTCCCTCCTCCCTGTGACTTCCTCTAACATATTTATACTTGAGTTTGACATATGATCATTAGAACAACTGTTCTTGATGTTTGAGAATGGGGATTTTATTATTTTGTATCAAAAGCATTTCATAAATTAGAATAAAACTGATAGAAATAGAAGGAGCACAGTCTGGCTTTAGGCCGGGGCATGGTACCGAGACAGCCTTGGTCGCCTTAGTGGATGATCTCCGTCGGGAGCTCGACAGGGGGAGTGTGTCCCTGTTGGTGCTGCTGGACCTCTCAGCGGCCTTCGATACCGTCGACCACGGTATCCTTCTGGGACGCCTCGCGGGAATGGGTCTCGGAGGTACTGTTCTGCAGTGGCTCCGGTCATTCCTCGAGGGTCGGTCTCAGAAGGTGTTACTGGGGGACTCCTGTTCAACCCCACAACCTTTGTTTTGTGGGGTTCCTCAGGGCTCAATACTGTCTCCCATGTTGTTTAACATCTACATGAAGCCGCTGGGTGAGATCATCCGGAGTTTCGGAGTGCGATGTCATCTGTACGCAGATGATGTCCAACTCTGTCACTCCTTTCCACCTGCTACTAAGGAGGCTGTCGAGGTCCTGAACCTGTGCTTGGCCGCTGTGACGGTCTGGATGGGGGCGAACAAATTGAAATTGAATCCAGACAAGACAGAGGTACTCCTGGTCAGTCGCAAGGCCGAACAGGGTATAGGGTTACAGCCTGTGTTAGACGGGGTCGCACTCCCCCTGAAGACGCAGGTTCGCAGTTTGGGTGTGATCCTGGACTCATCTCTGAGCCTGGAACCCCAGGTTTCGGCGGTGACCAGGGGAGCATTCGCACAGTTAAAACTTGTGCGCCAACTGCGACCGTACCTTGGGAAGTCTGACTTGGCCACGGTAGTCCACGCTCTGGTTACATCCCGTCTTGACTACTGCAACGCTCTCTACGTGGGGTTGCCTTTGAAGACGGCTCGGAAGCTCCAATTAGTTCAACGGGCGGCAGCCATGTACTAACAGGAGCGGGGCGCAGGGAGCATACAACTCCTCTGCTGTACCAGCTCCACTGGCTGCCGATTTGCTACCGGGCCCAATTCAAAGTGCTGGCGTTGGCCTTTAAAGCCCTAAACGGTTCTGGCCCAACATATCTATCCGAACGTATCTCGGCCTATCAGCCCACCAGGACCCTAAGATCTTCAGGGGAGGCCCTGCTCTCCATCCCACCTGCTTCACAGGTGCGGCTGGTGGGAACGAGAGACAGAGCCTTTTCTGTGGTGGCCCCTCGGCTTTGGAATGCCCTCCCCATAGAGATAAGATCAGCCTCCTCGCTGATGGTATTTCAAAAAAGACTCAAGACATGGATGTTTGAACAAGCATTCGGCTAATCCGGTGCGATGAAGTTGATGATCAAGGACTGGTAACCATAGACGATGAAATTGGATTATGATTTTAGTTAAGAGATGCATTGGTCTGTATTGGTGGCCCAATACTGTGTATTGTATATGTGTTTTATGTTTTTAAATTGAATATTGTTGTTTTTTAAGTGTTGTAAACCGCAACGAGTCGCCGATTTAGGCTGAGATATTAGCGGTATACAAGCGCATTAATAAATAAATAAATAAATAAATAAATAAATAAATAAATAAATTTGCCACTCCAACAATTGAATCTGCCTACAGCAATTCTTCCTCTGTAGATGAGGCAGGGCATAGTGGACAAGCATACAGATGAGGAGTTGTCTGCTCTGCCCCACAGTGACACAAGGTGTGGGATTCTTTTAGGTAGTGCCATTTTGCCAGGTTGTCTTTTGATCTGCCCACTCCACTTCTGAGTCTGTTCAGGGACTTCCAAGTTGCCCATTCTTGGTTTTCCCCTGGAGGAAGACCCTCGTGGGGGATGGTTTAGCTGCCCAGAGGGATACCCTTGCTGTTGCTGGGGGGACGCCAAGAGGAGTGGTAGTTCTCATAAAGCTTTTCCTTGATTTGATCTACTGGGAGGAGGCTGATAGCCATGTAGTGGATGGCTTTCACAGTATTCAACCTTATAACAATTGAGAAAATATTTGGTTAGAATAACTCTGTTCAAAACAGATATTGTGAATTATCTGCCTTGATATTCTGGGTTAAATGGCTGTGCGGGTGGCTGAGAAAGGTTGTAGATAAATATGGTAAATAAATAAAAAAATTACAATTATGAAGTAGCAATGAAAATATTTTTATGGCTGGGGGTCACCACAGCATGGGGAACTGTATGAAGGTGTCAAGGCATTAGGAAAGTTGAGAAGCACTGGACTATAGGGTTATGCACTAGTTTCATGGACTATTGGGTAAAGACCCCCATGTTAGAATGAACCTCCACGTTAGTCTTGTGTGTACCTTGGGACCGATTCCTGCTTATTCTAATAGTTCTCCTCCTTCACAGCCAGAATATTGGGGCCTGAGCTATGACATGACTGGCTGCAGGGGCTGCGCTTGCGATTTCGGAGGGGCTTACAGCAACAGGTAGGAGAAGCAGTGAGAAAAGGCTGGGCGGAGGAGGGTGGGTGGAACGGGAGGTCTGTGGATGGCCAACTTCCATATTCTCAGGGCCATTTTATTGACAGGGGCCCAGGGGATGGAAGTATGTGATCCTGCATAAACTGACTCTGTTGGTAGTGGGCAGGCTCCATAACAAAGTGTATGCCATCACGTGGTAAGCAATTCACTGCTCCGGTGCGTATGCTCTCAGGCGTGGCTTTGTACGTACACATTTGCAGCATCGCTGGAAAAGGTTGCTTAGTGTGCTTTTGCAGTGTTGATAATACCTTTGAGCATTTTAACTGCATAGTCCTTTGTTTAAATGATGAGTGAGTGAAATATATAGTTTTGCAGGTGCCTGTGCCATGCTTGTCTAATACTGCATATTATGACTTCATTGTGGCCCAGTGTCAAGACAAATATTTATTCATTCATCTGATCATTCGTGCAAAGTGTCAGAAAGTCAAAACCGAGAAGCAAAATTGGCAAGTGTGCTATGTGCGTCCCATTTATTACGGTTTGGAAATGTTTTCACTTTTCCTAATGAGAGTTTAGACAAAATGTTCAGCGTATGTAAAGGAGCCCCTGGTGGCACGATGGGTTAAACCCTTGTGCTGGTAGGACTGCTGACTGACAGGTTGGTGGTTTGAATCCGGGGAGTGGGGTGAGCTCCCATTTCAGCTCTAGCTTCCCATCCGGAGACATAAGAAAGGCACCCCACAGGATAGTAAAATATCAAACATTCGGGTGTTCCCCGGACAACATTCTTGCCAATGGCCAGTTCTCTCACACCAGAAGCGACTTGCAGTTTCTCAAGTCTCTCCTAACATGAATAAAAGACGTACATAAATGATTGTTTGACAGGACAATTATGAGACAAGATGGGTGGTTTGGGAGCTAAACCATCAGTTCTCCATAGTAGGGCTCCTAAAATACCTCTGATTTTCAAACTTTGCCTATTTTCCTCACTGGAATGACATTCTGTGACAGATGAAACCAATATCAATCTCTTTGATATTAGAGGGAGGCCCTCCTCTCTCTCTCGCCTCCGTCACAGGCATGAGCCATGGGGATGAGGGACAGGGCCTTCTCTGTTGTTTCCCCCTTGGCTCAAGAACTCACTGACAGGTTGGTGGTTTGAATCCGGGGAGTGGGGAGATTTTAAAGCGCAAACTGGATGGCCATCTCTCAGGAGGGCTTTGATTGTATATTCTTGGATGGCAGGGGGTTGGACTGGTAATCTCTTCCAATTCTATGATTCCAATTGTTTCTCACTCATTCTATTTGGGGGATTCTGTGCTTAGCCCCTCTGTAATATTACTGGAAGGGAGCTCACGTTCCTCTGTAGCTATTGGGCATTTGACTTTTTAAAGGTAAAGGTAAAGGTTTCCCCTTGACATTAAGTCTAGTCATGTCCGACTCTGGGGGTTGATGCTCATCTCCATTTCTAAGCCAAAGAGCCAGCGTTGACCATAGACACTTCCAAGGTCATGTTGCCAGTATGAATGCATGGAGCACCGTTACCTTCCCACCGGAGTGGTACCTTTTGACCTACTCACATTTGCATGTTTTCAAACTGCTAGGTTGGCAGAAGCTGGGGCTAACAGCGGGAGCTCACCCTGCTCCCTGGATTCAAACCGCCAACCTTTTGGTCAGCAAGTTCAGCAGCTTAGCAGTTTAACCTTTACTGACACTTTATTAAAACATTCTAATTCTATTAGAATTATATGATTCTAATGCAAGTTCTGTGATTTATTGTATCATCACACAACAACAAAACACTTTATTTATATTCCACTCTATCTCCCGAGGGGACTCAGAGTGGATAATATCATCCATAGATAGGCAAACATTTAATGCCTTTAATACAGTGGAATAACAATGACATACAAATACACAGAACAAAGGTAAAGGCTTCCCCTTTCATCTCCGGCTTGCTGGAGGCCATGCTCGACTCTGGCCCTGGGGAAGTGCTCTTGTTCTATTTCCAAGCCAAGGAGCCTGTTGTACATAGACAACTTCTGGTCATGTTACCGGCATAGCTCCATGGGTGCCTTTATTATCTTCCCACCAAAGCGGTATCTATTGATTTGCTAATATTTGCATGTTTTCAAATTGCTAGGTTGGAAGAAGCTAGGGCTAACAACGGGAGCTCACCCCAATCCATGGCTTCAAACTGCCAACCATTAGGTCAGCAGATTCAACAGTTGAACAGTTTAACCCATTGCACCACCGCAGGTGCTTCCTGTACCAGCTCTTGCTGGAATATGGAGCAGAATGGCTCGATGTGCTGCCATCTAATTTTAACTGGGAGATAGGAATTAGCATTTATTTAAGCCACACTCAGCATGATGCATATGCCGAGCTCGGCAAATACATGAAAGTCACCACATTTGTTATTCTCAACTTCTCCTTACCCTCTGGACATATAATCAATGGACCAATGAAATGAAGATGCTACAGTATGCATCTGTCTGACTCAGCATGATGTGGAAGCTGCACCTAGCTGGGCATGGAGTATTTTAATTGCTGGTCTTGTTGTTGTGTGAAGCAGGGCTCAGTTGAGCCAAGCTGTCCCATTGGCAATGGTGCTAAACAGGCTCTCTCTCTTTCTCTCCCATCCCTATCTCTGTACTAGTTTCTGTTTCTCGGTATGGCAGCATGTAGCCCAGAAGTGTCAGCCATGTGACACTCCACAAATACTGCTGGACTGTAACTTTAAGCATTCTCTGCCATTGGCATTGATGGCTTGAACTGTTAGGAGATGCAGTCCAGTAGTAATTGGAAGATCACACTGTTCCCATCCCTTGCCTTGCCAGGATTGCTGAACTTCTTCATACTTTTCTTTCCTCTCTCCATTATAATAGTTTGAACTGCATTAGAATGGTCAGTGTAGACCAGGCATGGGCAAAACACCTGGAGGGCCAAAGTTTGCCCATGCCTGGTGTAGACTTATATAATGCACATTGAGCTCCATTGGATTATATATAATCCAGTTTAATGCAGTTAATCTGCATCCTGAAACTGCATTATATGACAATCGATGTTGTACTCCAGAGCAGGAACATCTCTGACTTTGAACAAAACACCAGCTTGGTAAAATCAGCAATCAGTAAAAGTAAAAATGGTAAAAACAGTATAGTCCCAAGATAAAGGATAGTCACAAGGCACAAGGTAAAACACAAGATTCAAAGGTACACAATCCATAGAACAAGGCAGCATGAAAATCCAATACACATATCAGGAGCCTGACAAAACTTGGTACATGGAACTAGGAACACTTGGAAACAAGACTGTCATGAAATTCCAACATTGACAAGACTGAGGCAATTCTTTCCCTTGTATCAACATAAAGCTTTTCCTGACCCCAGAACCGAAAGGAAAACATTTCTCTTGCCCTTACAAGTAGATAACGGTTTCTTATCTCTCTTTTCCTGCAAACGAATTGACCTTTGTTGCCCCTGAGAACTTCATCTCTGTTTACAAAAGTATTGCTTTCTATCGTCACTCTCATTAAACTCTGCACCTGACATATCATCTTCAGAAGACAGTTTCTCAGAAAAAGACTGTTGAGGGCCTCTCCCAGGAATGTGACCTTGTGAATCTTTATGAGACACCTCGAGCCTCTTGTCTGACCTTAACTCAGGCCCAGGCAAACCCTCATCCGCATTGACAACAGACTCAGGCCCAGAAAACCCTTCATTTTCATTCCCATCCTGAACTTCAGACACAATCATAGGCTGAACTACAACAGTGTAGCTGGGACCTTACTCATTCCATGTGAGTCCTTTTAGATTCATAGTTTTTCACAGCACAAAGTAACTTTTTAAACTACAGTTTCTACAGTTCCCCAGCCAACATGGCCATTATATTTTGAGGGGTGTAGGTTTAAAATAAATCCCAAAGTTCTACTTGGCAGAAATATTGTTAGCCTGGCTCCTTTTGCCCACAATCCCTAACTCCAAGAAACAGCCACAAGAGATAACAATTCAGTCAAAATGAACAGAGAGTCTGTAACTGGGAGTTTGTGCCTCAATCCTCTTGAATCAAACATAAGTCAAGAGTGATTTGGAATGTGTACCTTCCCCTCTCCTTCTACCTTTATTGTTGCCATTTTCATATCCACCCCAGTTGTATAAGCTGCTTAAGGACGCACCTGCTACTATAAGTCTTGATTTGGTATCATGCCCTCTGTATGTCTCCAGATGCTCTATGGATGACGGCCAGTGCCCCTGTCGACCTCACTTCATGGGGCGCCAGTGTGATGATGTACAGCCTGGGTTCTTCTGCATGCCCTTGGACTACTACATGTATGAAGCTGAACATGCCACAGGTCTTCCACCAACCCATCAGAGCCTACCGGTGAGTGTGCAAACAGAGGATGAGGGAGCCAGATTTGGGGAGGAGAAGCACAACATCCTTGTTCATACACAGAGGAAAATACATACAAATAGCAAGCACTTGTGATTTGAATAGGGGGAATACTTTTGTTTATGTGCTTCTTATTTGTCTACAGCTGGATCTACACTGCTCTATATCCCAGGATATTATCATAGGTTATCTGCTTTGAACTGGATTCTATTTATTTTATTTATTTATTTACAGTATTTATATTCTGCCCTTCTCACCCCACAGGGGACTCAGGGCGGATTACAATGTACACATATATGGCAAACATTCAATGCCAAAGACACACAACAGATATAGACAGACAATCATAGGCTATTTAACTTTTCTGGCCACCAGGGGAGCTGTTGCTTTCATCGTCCATCTGCGACACTGATTAAGTACTTCCGCATTCCCAGCATGCTTTTGCTGGAGTGCTTTGTGGAGTCTTTTTTATGGCCTCGTAAATTAGTTAAATTAGCCTCCCCACAAATAGGTGGTACCTAATTTTCCTACTTGACAGATGCAAGTCTTTCGGGTTGCTAAGGTCGACTAGTTCCAGTGACCATACTGACTGGTAGATACACATCAAAAAATTTCCAAATTCTGAAAAGTACTGAAAAACCTATAATTGGGATCACTGGATCACTAATAGGTGTGTCTGTTAGTAACAAGGATCAACTGCTGGTGCCATTTTTGAAAATGCGTCTCTGTCATAGGGTGCTTTGCGTCCTGAGGCCCCAGTAGACTGTGTGGAGTATTATAACGGAGTCCAAAATGGGCGGAAAGTGCGGCTGCGGCGCCAGCACAGCACCATAAGAGTCTTACAGCAGCGAGGAGCCCTTCGGCGAGCTCGGCAGCTTCAGCAAAAGGTTTGTAATTAAGGAGAGAAAGTGGAGTCTAGTAGAAAATAGTGGGAAGGCTCCAAACAATTTACTTCTGATTGTGATTCCACTTGCAAGGTTGGTTGGGATTACAAATACTCAAGAATATGTAGAACCCATGACTTTACTAATCATATGTTTTCACCTACAGCCTGATGTAGAAGTCATACAACGTGAGCATACAGGTCACATGATTACATGGACAGGACCAGGCTTTGCTCGTGTTCGGGATGGGGCTGGTTTATCTTTCCATATTAGCAACATTCCCTACCCCATGGACTACGACATCCTTCTACGCTATGAACCAGAAGTATGTGGAAAAATATATGAGGGGTGCTATTCTGTGTACTGAGAAATGTTATAAAACACAAGTGTGGGAAAGATTGCTAGGACAGCAAGAATACTTTCTTCTGTCCCCTTGAATCGAATGCGTCAAGAGAGGAAGGAATGTAACAGAAACTTTAGACCAAAGTGTTTTTTCCCCTTTTGCATGCATTTTCATGCATTTTCTTTTCTTTTTTTTTTTCATTTTAAACAGTTTCTGATACAGTCTATTTTAGGCACGTGGAGAAGAATATTATTTGTTCTACTTTAAATCTGTTTATCTTGCTTCAGTCTACAGAGGATTGGGAAGCTGTGGTCAGTGTCAGCTCGCAGGCTTTACCCATGAGCCCCCGCTGTGGCAATGTGCTACCTTCAGAGCAGATGTACCGAGAGAGCCTGCCACACAGTTCCAGGTGAGAACAAAAGGAGGAGAGGTTTAGGTGCATCTCTACACTATAGAATTAAAGTAGCTTGACACAATTTGAGCTGCCATGGATCAATAACTATGCAATCATGGGACCTGGCATTTCACAAGGTCTTTATCCACCTCTGCCAAATTGTGTTGACCCCTCACCAAACTACAACTCACATGATTCTACAGCACTGAGCTATGTCAGTTAAAGGGCTTTCAAGCAGCATTAACTCAACAGTGTAGAGACAACCTTAGAAGCAGAGACTCCAGCTCCACAATGGCATCAAACTACAAGAAAGAAGATTCCATCTGAATATTAGGAAGAACTTCCTGACTGTGAGATCCGTTTAGCAGTGGAACTCTCTGCCCCGGAGTGTGGTGGAGGCTCCTTCTTTGGAGTCTTTTAAACAGAGACTGGATGGCCATCTGTCAGGGGTGCTTTGAATGCAATATTCCTGCTTCTTGGCAGGGGGTTGGACTGGATGGCCCATGAGGTCTCTTCCAAAGCTATGATTCTATGATTTACAATGCTATATTATACAGTTTGAACTTCATTATATGCTCAGCGTAGACTGTTATAATGCAGACTGAACTACATTGAATTGGACTATATGAGTCTACACTGCTATATAATCCAGTTCAATCTGCATTATTTATTTATTTATGTATATATTTCGGGCTTTTATATCCCGTCCTATCCACATCAAAAAACATAAATATACAATTTAACAGAAATATAATAATAACAATATAAACCAGTATAAAACAATATAAAACAATATAAAAACAATCAAGCAGTCAGTGGTCACTGGTTTAAATCACCATCCAAGGGCAGTCCATCCATTGGAGCCCCTGGTGGAGCAGTGGGTTAAACCCCTGTGCCAGCAGGACTGAAGACCGACAGGTCGCAGGTTCGAATCCGGGGAGAGGCGGATGAGCTCCCTCTATCGGCTCCAGCTCCTCATGCAGGGACATGAGAGAAGCCTCCCACAAGGATGATAAAACATCAAAATCATCCGGGCGTCCCCTGGGCAAAAAAAAAAAAAGTCCATCCGTTCTATATAAATTGTCACATCAGCAGGTCAGCCTAATCTACAAAGGCCTGATCCCATAGCCAGGATTTTGCTTGTTTCCGGAAGGTCAAGAGGGATGCAGCAGATCTAATTTTACTCAGGAGGGAGTTCCATAGCTGGGGGGCCATCACAGAAAAGGCTCTGTCCCTTGTCCCCGCCAGATGCGATTGCAACAATGAAGGAACAACGAGCAGGATATCCCCAGATGATCATAATTATGGCAGTATAGATGGGGCCTCTTGTACAGCCAGTGTGAACATTTCATGGAAATTAAGACCCTGCCATTTCCAGCCCTTAATTACATCCCACATTGCTTCCTGACAACACTCAAGTGTTCTTTTTTTAATCTGCTTTCAATTATCACTTGCCTCATGTCGCTAATAATTAGTTTTGAGCTCTTTAATTATGAATATTATGTGTGAGTGATGACAGTCTGAAACAAGTTTGGCTAACTTCTGTATTTTATTCTCAGAACAGGAATTAGGGCACCAAAGTGTATTATTCCTGTTTCATGTTTACAGTAAAATAAAACAGATCATATTCGATGTTCAGCCCCTTCTTGGAAGAGGTAATGCTAAAAGTTAGGCTACACTGCCATATTATCCAGTTTCTGAATCCAGAGTATCTGCTTTGAACTAAATTATATGGTAATATAGACTCATATAATCCAGTTCAAAGATAATCTGGATTCAGAAACTGGATTATAGAGCAGTGTAGATTGTGGCATAATGTCAAATAATCCATGTGAAGTTCACATTTGATGAGCCCACACACTGCCTTGCCAGAGAAAGAGAATATGCCACACAGGTGAACAGAAAAGAACAAGTTTACTCTTTGTAGTTCACAACAACATAAGCACAATGTGATCATTTGCATCAACTCACATAATGTCCTTTTATGAGAGATTTGAAATGGTCTTTCTTTGTCCATATGGATAAACTCCTTCAGAAGCTCATGAAGCGAGAGCACACTCCAAACTCTCTCTCTGCTTCACTCTTCTTCTCTCTCTGCACGTGCATAGCTCAAGCCTGAACAAATATGTAACAGTATTCAAAAGTCCCAGGCTCAGCCTGCTTCCCAGGCATTGCCTGACCAATCAGCTTTGTGCATTTTATTTTACAATTCACACACACACACACACACACACAAAGATTCCTTGCATGCTCCAACATAGATCCAACCCTACATAGAACCACTCATTGGACTGTGGCTGGATCTACATTGCTCTATAATCCAGTTTCAGAATGTGGATTAACTGCATTGATCTGGATTATAGGGCAGTGTAGCCTGATATAATTTAGGTTAATTCACTTACTCCACATTCTAAAACTGGATTATAGGGCATTGTGGATCCAGCCTGTGTGTGTATTCTGAGATGTGGGTGATGTTAAGTAATATTTGTAAATAGGTTTATGATTCCATATTCCTCAGCCACACATTTCCATTCTTCGGTTGTAGAGCCTGTGTTTTGGCACAATTGACAAACCAGCGGTTTTTCTGTCATCAGAGCATTTGCCGATGGATTGCCTGAGTGTTTACCACAGTTAAGTGGAAAGCTCCTGGATTTTGTGTGTGTGTGTGGTTAGGAAGGTGTTGATATTTTGGTTTGGCTAAGGGCCCTCTTTGTGTGCTGACGGATTTTGGCCTTGCAGAATGCAATGGGTATCGTTCTCTGCTTTCTTCCCTTGCATTCCTATCTCTTACTGCATTCCTTGAAGTCCCCTGTTGTCCATCTGTTTCTATTGTATGTCTGGCTTCATTCGTATACATGTAGTGCCCCGTATTTAGACAATCTGACCACTTTATGTGGGCATTCTTCTAACTTTTCAATGTTTCTTTGTCGGTTTTTTTATTCTTCTAATGTTGCTGTTCATTGTTCTCTGTGTTACATATATTTGAAAAAGACGGGTGAGTTGTTTTGAGAAACTGAGCATTCATTTTCCTTTGTAACACTCCTTAGTTTTCTGGAAAGGCTTCCAAGTATGATGGGCTTGTGAGATTAGGTGGCGCAATGGGTTAAACCTTTGTGCCGGCAGGACTATTGATCAAAAGGCCAGCGGTTCGAATCTGGGGAGTGGGGTGAGTTCCCACCTGTAAGCTCTAGCTTCTAAGGTAGGGACATGAGAGAACCCTCCCACAGGATGATAAAACGCCCAGGTTAGAGCCCCCATTGGTGCAGTGGGTTAAACCCTTGTGCCAGCAGGACCGCTGACCAAAAGGTTGGCAGTTCAGATCCAGAGAGCTGGGTGAGCTCCCATCTGTCAGCTCCAGCTTCTCATGCAGGAACATGAGAGAAACCTCCCACAGAATGGTAAAACATCCAGGCATCCCCTGGGCAACATCCTTGCAGACGGCCAATTCTCTCACACCAGAAGCTACTTGCAGTTTTTCAAGTCGCTTCTGACACGAAGAAAAAAAAACAGTCTGGGGAGAGTGAGTTGAGCTCCCTCTGTCAGCTCCAGCTTCCCATGAGGGGACATGAGAGAAGCCCCCCACAAGGACGGTAAAACATCAAACATCTGGGCATCCCCTGGGCAACTTCCTTGCAGACAGTCAATTCTCTCACACCAAAAGTGACTTGCAGTTTCTCAAGTCATCCCTAACACACACACAAAAGAATATTATAACACTTAGTAACAAAATTTGGGGGGGGGGGGAATCTGTTCTTGGTTTGATAGTATTATTTCCTGTTTAATTATGCGATACTTACTTTGAAAGTAGTTGTTATGGTCCAGAAACTTTGTTTTTGAGGCTGCCACAAACTATGTTGAATTGGTTGAGACCCTGTGAGATATTAATTGAAAAAGCAGAGCAAAATGTTCTGCAGGATGTCTCACGAAAACAAAGTTTTTGCAGTTTCAGACTTTCTCCTTATTTTTATGACAGAACCGATTAAGAAATGACATTTGTAACCCAGGAACAAAAATTGTGTTACATAGCGTTTATACATTAAGCTGAGATTGTTGTACTTTGGACATGATTATGAGAAAACATGGCACATTAGAAAAGACAATAAAGCTTGATAAAGTAGAAGTTAGCAGAAAAAGAGGAAGACCACATTCCAGATCAGACATGGGCAAACTGCGGCCCTCCAGGTGTTTTGGACTCCAACTCCCACAATTCCTAACAGCCTACCGGCTGTTAGGAATAGTGGGAGTTGGAGTCCAATACACCTGGAGGGCCGAAGTTTGCCCATGCCTGTTCCAGATGGATAGAGTCAATCAGTTTTGAGTTTCCAAGACCTGAGCAGGGCTCTTAAGGATAGGATGCCTTAGGCTGCATCTGCACAGTACAATTAAGGCAGTTTGACACCACTTTAAGTGTCATGGTGCATGGGAGCTGTAATTGTACAAAATCTTTGTGAGCAGTTATCATCAGCCATTCATGGCTGGAATCACTGAATTGCTGTGAGTTTTCAAGCTATATAGCCATGTTCCAGAAGCATTCACTCCTGACCTTTCACCCACATCTATGGGCAGGCATCCTCAGACCTCACAACCTCTGAGGATGCCTGCCATATATGTGGGTGAAACATCAGGAGAGCATGCTTCTGGAACATGGCCATACAGTCCAGGAAACTCACAACCCCAACAATTATGCAATTCAACTCTCAAAACATTGCTGGCCATACAGTTAGGCAGCACAAAGCAGATGCTTCCAGCAACAGATACTGGGCAATGTTGCTTCCTTAAAGGTAAAGGTAAAGGTTGCCCCCAACATTAAGTCCAGTCATGTCTGATTCTGGGATGTGGTGCTCATCACCATTTCTAAGCCGAAGAGCCGGCATTGTCCATAGACACCTCCAAGGTCATGTGGTCGGCATGACTACATAGAGCGCTGTTACCTTCCCGCCGGAGCAGTACCTATTGATCTACTCACATTTGCATATTTTCGAACTGCTAGTTTGGTAGAAGCTAGGGCTGACAGCAGAAGCTCACGCCACTCCCTGAAATCGAACCTACGACCTTTTCAGTCAACAAGCTCAGCAGCTCAGCGCTTTAACCCACTGCGCCACCGGGGTCTCTGTTACTTCCTTCCAGCTGTTATTTATATTTCTCCTGGCCTGTCCTTTAAACTGTCCTGGGCTTCTCAAGTGCATTGGGCATTGGAAGGAATTATAGTAGTGTCAATGAGATTTGGCTTCCAGTCCAAAGGAGTTCTCATTTGGAAAAAAAAAAATTCAGATCAGCTCCAGCTACAAATCACTGACTAGGTTTGGCTATAACTACGAGCCCTTCCACACAGCCATATAACCTAGAATATCAAAGCAGATTGGAGCCCCTGGGAGCCAGTGGGTTAAACCACTGAGCTGCTAAACTTGTTGACCAAAAGGTTGCAGGTTTGAATCCGGGGAGCAGCGTGAGCTCCTGCTGTCAGCCTCAGCTTCTGCCAACCTAGCATTTCGAAAACAGATGGGAGTAGATCAATAGGTACCGCTTTGATAGGATGATAATGGCGCTCCATGTAGTCATGCCGGCCACATGACTTTGGAGGTGTCTTTTTGCTTCATTGACTATTCTAAAGCCTTTGACTGTGTGGATCATAATAAACTGTGGCAAGTTCTTGGTGAGATGGGCATCCCAAGCCACCTTGTCTCTCTCCTGAGGAATCTGTACAAGGACCAAGTAGCAACAGTCAGAACTGACCACGGAACAACAGACTGGTTCAAGATTGGGAAAGGCGTACGGCAGGGTTGTATACTCTCACCCAACCTATTCAACTTGTATGCAGAACACATCATGCGATGTGCGGGGCTTGACAAATGCAAGGCTGGGGTAAAAATTGCTGGAAGAAACATTAACAACCTCAGATATGCAGATGACACCACTCTGATGGCCGAAAGCGAGGAGGAGCTGAGGAGCCTTCTAATCAAGGTGAAAGAAGAAAGCGCAAAAGCTGGGTTGCAGTTAAACATTAAAAAAACCAAGATTATGGCAACAAGAATTATTGACAACTGGAAAATAGAGGGAGAAAATGTGGAGGCCGTGACAGACTTTGTATTTCTAGGCGCAAAGATTACTGCAGATGCAGACTGTGGCCAGGAAATCAGAAGACGCTTACTTCTTGGGAGGAGAGCAATGTCCAGTCTCGATAAAATAGTAAAGAGTAGAGACATCAGACTGGCAACAAAGATCCGCCTAGTCAAAGCGATGGTATTCCCTGTAGTAACCTACGGATGTGAGAGCTGGACCTTAGGGAAGGCTGAGCGAAGGAAGATCGATGCTTTTGAGCTGTGGTGTTGGAGGAAAGTTCTGAGAGTGCCTTGGACTGCGAGAAGATCCAACCAGTCCATCCTCCAGGACATAAAGCCCGACTGCTCACTGGAGGGAAAGATACTAGAGACAAAGTTGAAGTACTTTGGCCACATCATGAGAAGACAGGAAAGCTTAGAGAAGACAATGATGCTGGGGAAAATGGAAGGGAAAAGGAAGAGGGGCCGACCAAGGACAAGATGGATGGATGGCATCCTTGAAGTGACTGGACTGACCTTGAAGGAGCTGGGGGTGGTGACGGCCGACAGGGAGCTCTGGCGTGGACTGGTCCATGAAGTCACGAAGAGTCGGAGACGACTGAATGAACAACAACAAAATGTACAACGCTGGCTCTTTGGCTTAGAAATTGAGATGAGCACCAATCCCCAGAGTCGGACACGACTGGACTTAATGTCAGGGGAAAACTTTTACCTTTACCTACTTTATCAAAGCTGATAATCCACAATACCTGCTTTGAAAAGGATTATCTGAGTCCACACTGCCATATAATCCAGTTCAATGTGATTTTATACTGCTGTGCGGAAGGGGTATACCTGCATATTTTTCTTCTCTGACAAAACTTTTTCTTAACTCTATCAGCTGCCTCTCTAGTGCCCTCTAATGGCCTTGGAGTGTTACTGCTACCACAAGTTACCATGCACTTGAAGATGAAGTGGATTGAAAAACAGGGAATCTTCTACTAAAATTTTGGCCCCATCTACACTGGCATGTAATCTGGTTTGAACTGCATTATAATGGTCAATATAGGCCCCTTCTAGCTGTATAAAATCCGCACTTAACTGGATTATATGGCAGTGTGGACTCAGATAACCCAGTTCAAAGCAGATATTGTGGATTATCTGCCTTGATATTCTGGGTTATATGGCTGTATGGAATGGCCCTTAGACTCATATATATAAGCAGACTGAACAGCATTGAACTGGATTATATGAGTCTACACCATCATATAATCCAGTTCAATAGAGTTAATTTGCGTTCTGAAACTCCCGATTATAGTGCAGTGTAGGTGGGACCTGAATACGTCTTTCTGAAAGATGCTGCTTGAATTCTTCTCATTCTTCACACATACTGTCCTTTGTATTTTGAAAGGCCATGACCCTCTCCTGCTATTGCCTTTGAACTATCTCAAGCATCCACTATGTTAACTTTAATTCCCCACATTTAGTACTGTTTCGGAGTGCTGCACTTTTATGCTGTTTCAAATCCAACTAAATTCAACTAATCCCAATTGTCTAAGCAGGATATATGCCTAACAAGAGATGCTACTGAACAACTAAACAAATGAATTTTGGTATCCATTATTGAGACTATTTGACACTTCTGTAATTGAGATTATGCTTTCAAATGTTTGCATAAGATGAAAAGTGGCTCAGGAAGAGTCTCTTTACTTGTTTTGCTTCTTTTTTGTTTGTTTGTGCTGCTGCTGATTTCTGAAAAAAGCTTAGAGTGCTTTCTAAACCAGGGGACATAGTGAATGTTGTGTTTGTAAATGCCTTCAAGTCACTGGTAGATTTATGACAACCCATTAATTTCATAGGGTTTTCTCTGGCAAGGAATACTCCCAGGTGATTTGATTAGCATTGAATGGCCTTGCAGGTTCAAAAGCCTGGCTGATTCCTGCCTGAAGGCATCCTTTGTTGGGAGGTATTAGCTGACCCTGATTGTTTCATGTCCGGAATTCCCCTGTTTTCTGAGTGCTGTTCTTTATTTACTGTCCTGATTTTAGAGACTTTTTGAAATACTGGTAGCCCGATTTTGTTCATTTTCATGGTTTCCTCCTTGAAACAATCAGGGCCAGCTAACACCTCCCAACAAAGGATTTCCCCAGACAAGAAGCAGCCAGGCTTTTTGAAGATGCAGACAACATTTGCCTTCTACCAGTCTGCTAGAATGTCTCCTGTTCTACAGGAATTCTCAAACTCCAAAAAACCGTCCAAAATCAGGACAGTAAATAAAGAACAGCACTATTTTCCCTGATCTCTTTAGTTTTATTCTAAATTGGGCAATAAGAAGTTCGTGATCTGAGCTACAGTCAGCCCCAGGTCTTGTTTTCACCGACTGGATGGATGTCCGCTACCTTTGGCTGCAAAGGATGTAGTCAATCTGATTTCGGTGTTGACCATCTGGTGAGGTCCATGTATAAAGCCGTCTTTTAGGTTGTTGGAAGAGAGTATTCGTTATACACAGCGAGTTTTCCTGGCAAAATTCTATCAGCCTGCGTCCCGCTTCATTTTGTTCTCCCAGACCATGCTTGCCTGTGATCCCAGTTGTCATTTGTCTTCCCACCTTGGCATTCCAGTCTCCTGTAATGAAAATAATGTCTCTTTTTGGTGTATTATCCAGTAGGTCCTGCAGATCCTCATAGAACTGATCTACTTCTGCTTCTTCAGCAGCTGTGGTTGGGGCGTATATTTGGATCACTGTAATGTTGAAAGGCTTTCCTTGCACTCGAATTGAGATCATTCTGTCATTTTTTGGGGTGTATCCAAGCACCGCTTTAGCGAATTTCTTATTAATTATGAAGGCTACTCCATTTCTTCGATGTTCCTCTTGTCCGCAGTAGTAGATCTGGTGGTCATCTGATGTGAAGTGGCCCATTCCAGTCCATTTCATTTCGCTGACCCCCAGAATGTCTATCTTTAGTCTTGACATCTCGCCAATAACAACATCCAATTTGCCCTGGCTCATAGATCTTACATTCCAGGTTCCTATTGTGTGTTGATCTTTAGAGCATCGGATTCGTCGTTCACCTCCAGTACCGTCGGCCGCTAGCCTTCCTTTCGGCTTTGAGCTAGCTGCGTCATCACATCTGGGGCTAGTTGAACTTATCCTCTGCTCCTCCCCAGTAGCATTTTGGCCATCTTCCGACCTGGGAGTACCATCTTCCAATGGCATACCAACATCTCTCTGGTTGTACTGGTCCATTTAATTTTCTTGGCAAGAATACTGGGGTGGTTTGCCATTGCCTTCCCCAGGGATCACGCTTGGTCTGACCTCTCTGTCACGACCGTCCCGTCTTGGGTGGCCCTTCACGGTTTCGCTCATGACATCATTGAGGTGCTCAAGCTCCAGCGCCCCGACAAGGCGGTGATCCTTTGCTGGAGATCCTTTGCCTCTGTGTATGTGTTTATTTATTAGGAAAAGACTGACAGATTGATTGCTAGCTGATGGTACCATCTATTGCCCTTCAAAAGTTATCTGCATTCCTTCGCCCAGCAAAGCAAAAGTCCACCTGCTTTCCAAGCTAGCAAAGTCTTTCATTTTATGAACGGTGTTCCTCAACCCTTTTGCATCCATTTCTCTACAAGATCTCTTTCTACCTTCGCAGGGAGAGACCTCAGCTTGTCTTCTCTTTCCCCGCAGGTATGTGCTCTTGCCACGGCCTTTCTGCTTTGAGCCCAGGAACCACTATGAGATCACGGTGCGGTTCCAGCGGACAGGTGTGGCACAACGCCATCCCGCAGCCTTCCTCCTTGTTGACTCGGTGAGAAATTCCTGTGTGCCAGAGGAAGCTTCATGATCCAGATCTGAGATTTCTAAACCTATTTCACTTATTGCCCCCTTTCCAGGGGAAAAAACAAATTACTCTGGAAATCTACCTTCTTTAAGTGAACAAATAGAAAGATGTAGTGACAACTTTGCATTCTTTTATGTATTGCTATTTCTATCTAAATCCTATAACATGGTGAAGGAAGATGTTATAAATAAGACACCTTGAAATTATAAAATTACATGATGCAATGCAATTTTTGTTCCTGGGTTATAAATGTCATTTCCTAATTGGTCCTAACATAAAAACATGGGACAAAAGTTTATTAAACTGCCAAAACGTTGTTTTTGTGGGATACCCAGCAGCACATTTTGCTATAGTTTTTCAGTAAATATCTCATTGAGTCTCAACCAATTCAATGTAGTTTGTAGCAGCCACAAAAACAAAGTTTCTGGAGTATAACATAACTTCTAAATATAACATTAGTATAACATAAATTCTAAGTAGGTACCACATAATTAAACAGGAAATAACACTTCCAAAAGAGAAACAGATTTATTCTTAATCTTTGTTACATAGTGTTATTTATTAAAATTAACCACAGTAACATTCGCATTACACACAGAAAATTAAAATAGGGATAATAATAAAATAAAAATATGAATAACATTAACATTAATACTAAATGCGAAGACTAAGTCTGGTGCGTTGCTATTGAGTTATTAATGTTCAACTCTGGGAAAGGTTTTTCAGCAGCATGAATTCAAAATTTTCAGTTCTTATGTCACTTGCACTATTATTAGCAGCTTGTCACACAATTCAGATACAATCTAAATTAGATTTCAAACATGTAGCCTATTTATAGTATCATACTGTAAACAAGCCATTACACCCACATATTCCTGCCGATGCATGCTGGATCTTCCTGAAAATTCACTAAACAGTCGTCTTCCAAAACATGGTTGTTAAAACTTGGCAGTGGAATTGACTGCTGATTATTTATAACTTGCATTTTGTGTGTACATTTGGAAAATAAAATAATCACTGCCACTTTAACTCTATGTTACACATTATTATTATTATTATTATTATTATTATTTTACTCACAGAAAAACATGGTATGTCACAGCAAATGATATATATATATGCTGGATTTCGTATAAAAAAATCACAAGTCGAACACTTCCCAAGCGTCTAGGACTGTGTTATGTATTTCTGAATGATGCGTGCAGACTGCAGATCCAAGTAAGGTGGCCTTTTGTAGTTAACAGATCATGATTTTGTCCATGTTTATTGTTTCTAAATGCCGGCTGAGATCTTTTGGCACGCCACCCAGTGTGCCAATAACCACTGGGACCACCTGTACTAGTTTGTGCCAGGGCCTTTGCAATTCGATTTGGAGGTCCTGATAATGGCTGAATTTTTCCTGTTGCTTTTCCTCAATGCAACTGTCATCCGGTATAGCGACATCAATAATCCAAACATTTTTCTTTTCCACAATTTTGATGTCTGGTGTATTGTGTTCCAAAACTTTGTCAGTCTGGATTCGAAAGTCCCACAGTATTTTTGCGTGTTCATTTTCCACTACCTTTGCAGGTTTATGATCCCACCAATTCTTTACTACTGGTAGGTGGAACCTGTGATGTAAGTTCCAGTGAATCATTTGGGCCACAGAGTTGTGCCTTTGTTTGTAGTCCGTCTGTGCAATTTACTTACAACAGCTGAGGATATGGTCCATGGTTTCATCGGCTTCGTTGCACAGTCTGCATTTTGAGTCATCAGCTGATTTTTCAATCTTGGTCTCAATTGCATTTGTTCTGATGGCTTGATTATGTGATGATGATGATGATGTTTGTTTATATCCTGCTTTTTCTCTCCATGTGTAAACTCAAAGGGGCGAACAACTAAAAGCATTGAAACACAATTTAAAATATACAAATATGCAAGTATTAAACAGTATTAAACTTCATTAAAAGCATATAAAATCACAGCAGCTCCTGACACTCTTAAAGACCTTCTTTTAAAGCCTGCCTGAATAGGAAGGGTTTAGACTGCCGCCAAAAGGACAGCAGGGAGGGGACCATTCTGGCTTCCCTGGGCAGGGAGTTCCAGAGTTGTGGGGCAGTCTCCAAGAAGGCCCACCCTCTCGTTCCCACCAACCGAGCTTGAGATGGAGATGGGACTGAGAGAAGGGCCTCCCTTGAAGATCTCAGGGTTCGGGCAGGTTCATAAAATAGATAAAATGTGTACAAATAGTTTTTTTTAAAAAAAAAAAATCTTCTCTTCTTTCTTGAATTTCCAATGTCCTCTTCTTTTTATTCAGTGCCCAAACAATTGCATCCCAGGCTACTACCATCCTCTTGAATTATTCCAGTGCCTTCCAAGGGTCAATAGCTGGATCTACACTCCCATATAACCCAGTTTATCTGCTTTCAATTGGATTATATGGGTCTACACTGCCATATGATCCAGTTCAAAGCAGATAGTTTGGATTCAGAAACTGGATCATATAAGTGTAGATGGGGCCAATATTGTCTACTTTGGGAAGCACTGATGTAGACTATCCCAGGATTCTCCTTTCATCCTGGTATTAGATAGTGCCTTTTGCACAGTATCCACTCCAGTGGAAGTTCACATTCCCCAGCTGAAAATGGATGTATCCTCTCTATCCCAGCCAGCATTTCCTGATATGCATTCCTCTCTCCTTCCCATAGCTGGTCCTTTTGCCACGTGTGACGGAGCTGCCGGGGCTCCATGGCAATGATCCTGCCGCCGTGGAGCGTCGAGAGGCCCTGGAGCGCTACACCTGCCTGGAGGCCTTCCGCATGGCCACTATGCCTGACCTGGCCGAGACCTGCGCCCAGCTCCTGTGCAGCATCTCTGCCCTGATGCATGACGGGGCCCTGCGTGAGTGAAAGGACAAGTGTGGGGCAGAAATGGAACTACAGGAAAAAGGATCTATATTTGCATTTAGCTTCAGGGAAAGAAGGGGATAGTTGGTTTTCTTGAACTGGAAAGAATTGTACTTTAGGCAAAGTAATATTTAGAGCTTGTTTTGTGCAAATTCAGTAGGTCCAAATGTTGGAAAGGAAGCCGCTGGTAAACAGCAAGCAAAGAGCCGAAGAGTCTCTAGACTGAGACCCCATCTACACTGCCATGTAATGCAGTTTAACCGCATTATATGGCAGTGTGGACGCATTCTGAAACTACATTATATAGCAGTGTAGATGGGCCGGAGCTCCCCTTGACCAAGGTGACAAAAGAGTTCTAAAATTCTAGAACAAATAATTTTCTTGAATTCAAAAACCAGAAAAACAAAATCTGCTGTTGGAATTATGACTATAATAGATTTACAAACATTTAGCCTCCATATTACAAATAGTTCGGAGTGCCCTCTTATTTGTTTATTTCAGTGTTTCTCAAACTTTGCTCTTCCAGCTGTTTTGGACTTCAGCTCCCAGAAATCCCAGTCAGCTTGCCAGCTGTTAGGAATTGTGGGGGGTGAAGTCCAAAACATCTGGAGGAGCACAGTTGGAGAAACTCTGATTTATTTAATGTATATCCTCATTTTCTATCATGAAACCTCAAATATTTAGATTCATGTTCACTTTAAAGATAACATAAGACATGTTAGTAGCCTCCAGATTTGAGGGGCAGTTGCCTGATTTGTTTCACATGCCTTATTCTGCCTAACTTTTACTATTATGTTATCACCTGTGGTGTGCAAGCAGGAGGAAATTGTGCTTTGCAGTCATTAGTAAGCCCCCTCAGTCTTGGCCCATTCATTACAGGCGACCTGTGGTCTGCTTTGTTTAGTGTAATATAATATTATGAGGAGTCCTATACCAAATATCCTTGATCAAGAATCAGCACTAAAGAGGGAGCTGGCTTCTGTCCAGTGTACTGGGAAATGTTTTAACTTGCCCCTGTTAGACAAACATCTCAAGTTCTGCCGACTCTTATTTTAATTGGAGTGAGGGCAAGAAAATGTACCTCTTTTCTCCAACATAACTATTTTCCTAACTCTTGGCAACATGATTTCCTCTGTCCTTAGCTTGCCAGTGTGACCCCCAGGGCTCCACCAGCAGCGTCTGCCACAAACTAGGAGGGCAGTGTCAGTGTAAACCCAATGTGATTGGTCGTCGGTGTGACGAGTGTGTCCCAGGCACTTATGGATTTGGACCGTATGGCTGCATTCGTGAGTATCCAAGACTTCCCGTATCATCTGTTTCAGATCCATTCTTCTCTTTATGCCAGCATTTTTCTAGTTTTACATTTCACTAAGAAGACAAAATTTATTGTCAAAGGCTGTCATGGCCAGAATCACTGGGTTGTTATGTGTTTTCCGGGCTGTATGGCCATGTTCCAGAAGCATTCTCTCCTATCGTTTCACCTGCATCTATGGCAGGCATCCAAAATTTCATTAAAAAAAGAATTTACTAAAACTAGCAAATTCCTCTGTATTCTAGGTGGAAAAAATTTTAGAATTAACATTTCTAATTTAGGAGAAACTGAAATAGGACTGGAAACAGAGAGATCAATCAATTTATGCTCAGGACAGGTTGCTTACTATCTATGCCTCATCGGTGTGGGTCCTACTACCGATTCCAAATGTGTCTGGGTATTGAGTAGACCTACCAGCCGAGGCTTGAAGATATTTCAGCTGGAGTTCCGTGGATCTGTAGTGCTGTCCTCCCTCAGAGAATTCTTTGAAACTTCAGGGCTGTTTTCCCTCTGATTGCTGAGAGGCTGTGAGCTCTCAGCCAGAGCCTTGGGACCTTTTCCCTGGAATTTCTGTTTCTGTTTCCCCGGATGTTCCTGAGAAAAGAAGCTTTTCTACGGGACGAGCTGGTCTATGTCCTATAGTTTAGCTTCCTTATGTGAGACTGTCCAAAAAATGGCTCCTTTCCCTCCCAGAGCCCTGAACAAGGGGCGGAACCAAAGCTTAATTATGATGGACAGGAGACTTGCCCTACGACTGCAACCAAAGGAAGCCACCTTTCTGCAGAATCCCTGAAACCTTGGACTGCAAGCAAACATTTAATACAAAGCAAATAAAGTTGGAGCTCCTGGTACAGCCGTACCGGCACAACTTGTATACTGCTTTTCTCATCCCCGGTGGGTAGGGGAACACATGGAACTTAAAGTGGGTTCCAACATATTTATGGGAAAATGTAATGCCTTACATAGGTATTAAACCTAACATAAAACAATAATAACATTCATGTAATGCTTTCCATCAGAAAATATGTTTTCTTCCAATCTTCATTTCTTGTTTGTGGAGATGATGATGATGATGATGATGATGAAAATAATCATCATCTTTATATCCTGCCACCTGAAGGGACTTGGGGTGGCTTACAAAGCACTCCAGGATGCACATATAACCTTTAACAGGTAAAATGGTGCAAAAGTATAAAACAAGTCACATAAAATTATAACAACAACCCCCATCAACACATGTAGCATATAATCCAAATAATGCAATTTTAAAACAACAATAGATAAAACTAACTGTCATCAATTCACAAGATACCAAGTGTCACCTTGTGATGAGCATGGAAAACAAACTTGCCAGTGTCAAATAGGCTGCAAGCCAGGAGCTTTCACCGAGTAAGCTCAGGAGCAAACATACAGTAAGCCCAAAGTCATTCAGCAAACACTCTCCGGTTATACCCCCTCGGGAGTGGTTCAAAACTTGTTGACCTTAATAACACTAATTACTCAGCCTGTGAATTGTAATTAAACACAGTGAGTCTTTTTCTCTTAACACACACACAGTAGTAATCCCACAGGAACTTATCCATGTACCTTAATATAATCAACTATGTATAGGCCCCCTGGTGTCACAATGGGTTAAACCCTTGAGCTGCTGAATTTGCTGACCGAAAGGTTGGTGGTTTGCATCCGAGGAGTGGGGGTGAGCTCCCACTGTTAGCCCCAGCTTCTGCCAACCTAGCAGTTCAAAAACATGCAAATGTGCGTAGATCAATAGGTACCATTTCTGCGGGAAGGTAACGGTGCTCCATGCAGTCATGCCGGCCACATGACCTTGGAGGTGTCTACAGACAATGCCGGCTCTTCAGCTTAGAAATGGAGATGAGCACCACCCCCAGAATCAGACACGACTAGACATAATGTCAGGGGAAACCTTTTTCTTTACTGTGGTTTTGAATAATGAGGTTCTCTCCCTTCCCTTCTCATTTTTTGCGACAATTCCCAAAACCTAAATAGCAGATGAGTACAATATTGCCTCGCCATACTGGACCACTTACTGAGAAAGTAAAAGGGAGCAAGTCTTTCTCCAACAAGGGACAATAAAAAATATTCACCGTTTCATATGGACTGGACAATGCCTACCACATTATATGTACCTGGAAATTCTGTAGTTACTCTGTTTCAGGAAGAAGGTGGACACAATCTGCATATCAGGGTATTCTTAGGTATCTGGGTCGTAGTTATGCCCCTGCTCTTTAACATTATATTTAGCCTAACAATTAATACAACCTCTCCCCACTCGTGCTGACGTCTTTGGGACCTCTTCCCACAGCCTGTGCCTGTTCCCTCGAAGGCTCTGCCTCCAAAATCTGTGATCCAGTAAGTGGACAGTGCCGGTGCCAACATGGAGCTGTGGGGCGGCAGTGTGATCAGTGTGCACCAGGCCAATGGGGATTCCCAAGCTGCCGACCTTGCCATTGCAATGGGCACTCCGAGGAATGTGACTTGCATACAGGAGCCTGCCACAACTGCCGTGATTACACAGCTGGCCGCCACTGTGAGAGGTGGGTACATGCGTTTTGGAGAAATGCTGCCTAAATGATCTTTTTTAGATACATTGGCCAGCTTATCCTTCTATCAAACCTCTCAAACATGAAGGAATTGATGATTGTGTGCCTTCCTGTCACCTGTTGACTTATGGAAACCCCATGAGGTGGTTTTACTAGTTCTTTCCTCTGGTGTTCTTTGGTTGTCAGTGAGGACTCATTATTCTCTCTGCCATTTTAGTTCATTAATTGATGACAGTTTTATCTGCAGGTACTGCTGCATTTTATAATTTTAGCAATTTTATTATTATATAATGTTATGTGTGCTCGTCGTGGTTGCTGCTATAATTTTATATTGCTTCTGTTTTTATGTTTATGTATTGTTTATTTTATACACAGCACTCTGGAGTGCTTTTGTGAGTCTCCCAAGTCCCTTTTGGGAGATGGTGGCGGGGTATAAATAAAGTTTTATATGTTATTATTATATATTATTCAGCACACTCTGAGGCAAAAGTAAACATGAAGTGATGTCCAAAGAGGGATGGCAGCAATTCCAGGTTGCTCTTACTGTATTGAGTTCTCCTTTGGCTCCTGCCACAGGTGCTTGGATGGCTACTATGGAGATCCCGTCTTAGGCTCAGGACAACAATGCCGGCCATGTCCTTGTCCTGGATATCCTGGATCTCGCCAGTATCACGGCATCTCCTGTGACACAGACAGGGAGACCAACCAGATCAGTTGCCTGTGTGCTCCAGGCTATACAGGTATGGTCTATTTCAGGACAAGGTTGGTCTTAACTGTACCTGAAAATGAGGGAGGATAGAATATTAACCAAGGGTACCCTGATAAAACCTGACAAGTAGAGTGTATGTGAAAGTAATCCTCAGTACACTTCTACAACCCTTCAGACTTGTGGCCTGCACTCTGGGGACAAAGAACAACTCTTTAGAGGGTGCAGGATTTTATCTTCCATCAGACAACTTCCATCAGACACAGATATTGGTGAAAAGTGCTGAGAACTGTAGTCCAATTAACTCAGAATCACTTGACTTTGTTAATCCCTGCTCAATAGTTTGTGATTTACCAAAGTAAGTACATACATCTGCTTTGTACTACACTCCATCAGAAGTTTGATGACCTCCAAGAGTTTATAATCCTAGATAGATAAAATCAATAAGGAATTTTTTTTGTTGTTATTCATGATAAATTTAGATAAACGTGACTATTTTGAAAGTTGGCTGGGCCTTTTTTGTTACCTGACCCAAATTCCTCCTTCTCTGATTCTTTCCATAAATTCAGACATATGCACACTTTTACTACTCTGAATCACTGAGGAAAATGCTCTTTCTTGATTTGAATTCTGAGGTTCACATATCCCATCACATTCTTTCGAGTAAATCAGTCATAATGTGAGGAAGAGTGTGCCACACTTTCCCAATTTGCTAAATTGGCAGCATGTGTCTTATCTTGTCAATTTAGTTAGGTTGCTTGTATGTTTCATACTCACATCCTTCCAATAAGGGACTCAAAGTGATTTGTACAATTTCAAAACTTTTGGAGAGGATTATTCAAGAGTCCAAGTGAAGAGAAAGGAGTGTGAAGCCCCTTCTACACAGACATATAAAATCCAGATTATCTGATATGAACTGGATTCTATGGCAGTGTAGACTCATATAATCCAGTTCAAAGCAGATAATGTCGATTTTCTATGTTGGTAATCTGGATTATATGGCAGTGTAGAAGGAGCCTGGGAAAGGGGATTAATATCCTACTGAACACATCCTATATCCCTGGCAGGGCTTCGTTGTGACCGTTGCTCACCTGGCTATTTTGGAGCTCCTGAACAGGAAGGTGGAGCCTGCCGCCCCTGTCAGTGCAACAACAACATCGACACCAGTGACCCTGAGGCCTGTGATCCACACACCGGGCAGTGTCTGCGCTGCCTCTACTACACCAGCGGACCCCATTGTGCCGAATGCCAGCCCGGATACTATGGCAATGCCTTTCAGCGTAGTTGTCGACGTGAGTGTGATATCTGGACCTGGGTTGTGTTGCTCGGGAGGGACTTTGAGAATCATAAATGGTATTTGGCTGGCTTCATAGTGCTAATGAAGCCCTAATTAGGATGATATAATAGGCTTGGGTATGTGAGGGACCAGTAAAGTTTGGGATTTTGAAATACCTGTGAAGATATATATAATGAGATATCCAGGATATGGACCTGTCTAAACATGAAATTAATTTATGTTTCATATACATCTTATGTACATAGCCTGAAGGTAATTTTATAAACAGTATTTTAAATAGTTCTGTGCACGAAGCAAAGTAAAGCATAGGTGTCAACATCTAAACTACATATGTAAATAATTTGGAATTTTTTGAGTAGTTTGAATATCTGGATAAGATACTTGATCTGTATCAGTATGAAGTACAGCTTGATTGGCATCTACTGCTACAGCATTTATTTATTTACAAAATTTATATACCGCTCTTCTCACCCCAAAGGGGACTCAGGGCAGATCACAGAACACATATACGGCAAATATACAATGCTGATTATACAATGACAATACAGACAACAGATAGAGGTATATATAGGCTTTCCCATCTTGCAGCATTAATTAATTGGAGGCTGTGCTCGGTTCTGGTCACGGGCGGTGCTGTCGCTCTATCTCCCTGCCAAAGAGCTTTATTTTGTTCGTAAACTCCCTCCTTTTTCTGATCGAAATACTGTGCCTAAATACCTCCCTGCTTGAACACAGTACTTATTTATCTACTCACATTTGTTTTCAATCTGCTAGGAGGGCAGGGAGCTGGGCTAAAGGTCAGAAGCTCACCCTGACCTGGGCTTCGAGCTGTCAACCTTCTGGTTGGCAAGATTTATTGCAGCTGTTGGTTAACTTTCTGTGCTAAAGCCCGGCCTGGCTTATTATATGTGCACATTATTTTAAAATATAATGCCCACTTTTAAAGTCATTTAAAAAAACAGCTTTGAAGGGATAAATGGATTTTTAAATTCTTTGTACTTCTTGGAAAGACTGGAGTAAAACTGAAGAGAAGAGTTTGTAACAGGACAAAGAAATCTCGGGAGCGGCAACTGATCTAAGCAGATGGCTCTTTTTGGATTCCTATGATTAGGTTCTGGGGATAATGAAGCAAAATGTCTTGTAAGCCATTATAAAAGAGATGGAAGTTATGGGGGGGGGGGGCACTTATATGAGTTTAGCATCCCTCATCCAAAATGCTTAGGACTAGAAGTGCTATAACTTTTAGAGTTTTCAGATTTTGAAATGTGTGTATATATACAAGTCATCCATAATTAGATATCTTGGAGATGGGACCCATGCCTAAACATGAAATTCTTTTATATTTCCATCTATACCTTATACACATAGCCTGAAGATAATTTTGTACACATTTTGTATAAAGTTATTTTGTGAATGAAACAAAGTCTATGTTCATTGAATGTACATCAGAAGGAAAAAGTGTCACAGCCACACATACGGACAATTTTGGATGCTCAGTCACTAAATATTATGTTGGCAACGTATCAGGTTAACATTTGTGGAAATCCCGTATCTAGGAAGGCTAAGGCATGTTCTATTGATGGCTTCTTGTCACATTGCCAGGGCTCTGCCTTATTTAGGTAGAGATGAATCAAACTCCCAGTTTTAACAAACAGTTTAATTAAAACAGCACTTACTTGCTGGCTGTTTTTATAGTCCAAAATATAAAACACAAAGATAGCACTCAGATACAGAATAAACAAAAAGTGATAACAAAAATAACTTCATAGTCGAAAGGGTCCAGTCCAGTGGTAAAACGCCGAGAGTTCAATAACAGAGTCCAGAGATCAAGAGTCTATACCGTAGTCAAAAGCCAGTCCAAAGGTTCAAGGTTCCAAGATTACAGGAGACATGTCAGGATACCAAAAATCCAACAGACCTGGGGGGAAAACCAGCAGCTTGTTGTTGTTGTTCATTCGTTCAGTCATCTCTGACTCTTCGTGACCTCATGGACCAGCCCACGCCAGAGCTCCCTGTTGGCTGTCACCACCCCCAGCTCCTTCAAGGTCAGTCCAGTCACTTCAAGGATGCCATCCATCCATCTTGCCCTTGGTCAGCCCCTCTTCCTTTTACCTTCCACTTTCCCCAGCATAATTGTCTTCTCTAGGCTTTGCTGTCTCCTCATGATGTGGCCAAAGTACTTCAACTTTGTCTCTAGTATCCTTCCCTCCAGTGAGCAGCCGGGCTTTATTTCCTGGAGGATGGAGTGGTTGGATCTTCTCGCAGTCCAAGGCACTCTCAGAACTTTCCTCCAACACCACAGCTCAAAAGCATCTATCTTCCTTCGCTCAGCCTTCCCTAAGGTCCAGCTCTCACATCCGTAGGTGACTACGGGGAATACCATTGCTTTAACTATGCGGATCTTTGTTGCCAGATCACCAAAATACAACAGATACTTTTTTCCCAAAGATCAGTCTCAAGGTTAGCTCCTTAAATCCAGTAACACCCAGCTGCAACCCATCTCCTGCACACCTCCACCCCTAATTGCTTTCACCCATGAACTCCCACTTACAGATTACCAAACCCTCTAGAACAAATGCTCACATTAACCCTTCCATCACCATCAACTGCAGAACATATGACACTTCTGAACATGTACCTGGGTATTGAGAAACTTTGAGATACCATAAGAGTTGGGTAGGATACCCTCCCCTACAAGAAAGGCAGGTAGCCATTTTCTTCTTCCCTACACAAGCCAATGCCTTGTTTTACTTTCCAGGCTGTACCTGTAATGAACAAGGCACTCTGCCTATGCACTGCTCCAAAGGCATCTGCCACTGTGACCGAACTACCGGTAACTGCCCCTGTCGTCCCAATGTGGTGGACAAGAACTGTGACAGATGTGCCCAAAACTTCTGGGGCTTTGGCAGCGACTTGGGGTGTCAGCCCTGTGACTGTGATCCCGCTCATTCGTTACGTTCAGACTGCAACATGGTAAATAACCCACCACTTGGAACTGCTCAGTCAAATATGAGGAGCATTGCCTGAGATCTCGAGGTGTTGTCGTCAGCTTGCATTTCAGAATCTATCACCAGTTTCCTTTGCTTTGTTCAGTTCACAGGGCAATGCCACTGCCAGCCAGGATTTGGAGGACGTGTTTGCTCCCACTGCCAAGAAGATCACTGGGGAGACCCTGAACAGGAATGTCTGCGTGAGTATGAGAATATAAGGCAAGCAAGCAAGCCTCATACCATATCATATTAGGTGCCCACAGACACATATGGAAATGAGCAGAGCTTTCAAGTAACCAATGTGCATAATCCTCCTAATATTGGAGAATGATTTTTTTTAATCTCAAACCCAAATCTCAGCTTGAATATGATATTTTACAAATGACATAGTTAGTTACCTATAATGAGTAACAAACCGAAGGCATAACAAAATCTTGTTTCAAAAGTAACATAGTGGGGAGAAATTAAATTTGAGTATTCGAAGTAATGAATTGTGTTCTGCAGTTGTTTACGAAAGCTACCGTATATACTCTAGTATACGCTGAGTTTTTCAGCCCTGTTTTTAGCTGAAAAAGCTCCCCTCAGCTTATACTTGAGTCAAAGTTATTTATTATTTTACTCTGTTATTATTACTAATATTATTACACTTATTATTTACTGTATTTATTATTATTACATTTACATTATTTTACTCTATTATTACCGATATTTTTGTTTACATTTATTATTTTACTCTATTTTTATTATTACATTTATTTTTCACTCTATTATTACATTTCTGTTATTTTACTCTATTATTATTTTTATTACATTTATGATTTTACTCTCTTTATTATTATTGTTGTTGTTATTATTATTATTATTATTATAAGAATACGTAAGCACATTTACATTGAAGAAGATTAGAATAATGGTGGAGAGTCTTATCTTAAATTACAGTTTTATGTAAATATTCAAAAACATTTCACCTACTGATGCCTCAATTAATGTAATTTTGTTGGTATCTATTTTTATTTTGAAATTTACCAGTAGCTACTGCATTTTCCACCCTCAGCTTATGTTTTCCCAGTTTTTTGTGGTAAAATTAGGTGACTCGGGTTATATTCGGGTTGGCTTATACTTGAGTATATATGGTACATTCATTCAGATTATATTTGAGTATCTACAGTACACATAAAGCCATTTTAGAGGCATTTTAGAGTATGTGTTCAAGTTCTATGACTTTTTAATCAATCCTAACATGTTTTGTTCAAAATAGCAAAAGAAACAAACAATGCAGTCAGCTGTATCAACAATTGTAAGGAGTCTTATAAACAACTGGAAAGTAATGAGTTTTTATGAGTGGTTCTCCAAGCTCAGTGATCTGAGAATCAAGATTGAGGCTTTCGTAGATGAATTCGTTGCCATTAACTATTTTGTTGTCAATTATGAAATTAATGAATTATGTCAATCATTCTCGTATTAGTCATACATATTAGCTTTAAATAAAAAAAACCAATTTGTTGCTCTCACCTCAAAGTTAACCTCAGAATCCAGCAAATTAAAATAACATGAGGTGTTAATTGTTAGTTAATGTGTTAGTATTGTCATTTAATAATGTAGACCTTTAAAAGGAAGATGACAAATTAATCTGTAATGAATTGTTCCCAGTCTGAGCATGACCTTTGCTTCCCACAGCCTGTGAATGTGATCCAGCTGGGTCTGAGAGTCCTCAGTGTGACCGCCTCAGTGGGCACTGTCTGTGCCGAATGGGCTTCACGGGACGGCGATGTCACCAGTGCCAGCGGGGCTTCCATAAGAACTTCCCGCGTTGTTCCCCTTGCCATCCGTGCTTTGGGCAATGGGATAAAGTGCTTGGGCAACTCTGGGAACAGGTGCAGAGGCTACAGGATGCTGTAAAGGCCCTGAAAGAAGGTGGCCCCATACCTGAAGCCAGCAACAACCGTATGCGCAACCTGGAGAACAGTCTTGATCATGTAGAGCAGCTTCTTGGGGATGGGAGTAGTCCAAACGCTCCACTTCTGCAGGAAATCAGCACCGTTCTGGCAGATATCAGGTAGGAGGAGATGGCAAGGACAGCAATGGGTAGAACTGGAAGGAAAACTCATAGTAAGCTATACTAATGTAGTATACTGATGCTTTTATGTCAAACTGCTTTGAGTCCCCTTTGGAGACTCTAATAATAATAATAATAATAATAATAATAATAATAATAATAATAATAATAATAATAATACAGACTGATAGAGTTTTGGAGCACCATACTCCTGACTTCACGATTGTGGAAAGAAACCAAGTATGGATTGTCAGTGTTGCAATCCCAGGTGACAGCAGAATTGACTTACACGATACAAGGATTTAAAGATCAAACTGTAAAGACTCTGGCTCAAGCCAGTAAAGGTGGTCCCAGTGGTGATCAGCACACTGGGTGCGGTGCCTAAAGACCTTGGCCTGTACTTAAAAACAATCAGTGCTGACAAAATTACCATCTGCCAGCTGCAAAAGGCTACCCTACTCAGACCTGCACACATTATTTGTCGATACATCACACAGTCCTAGACACTTGGGAAGTGTCTGATGTGTGATGAAATACAAAAGGCAGCATAGTGATCTTGTTTGCTGTGTCCTAATCTTGTTGTGTATATAATAATAATAATAATAATAATAATAATAATAATAATAATAATAATAATAAAAACAGGGACTTTGTCTGGCTTTTATTCTGAGTGTAAATGTTATGAATAAGCTGCCAATGGATTCTCTCACTATTCTTCTGAGGCTTCATCTACATTGACCATTTAGGGCAGATCAAAGTGCATTATATAGTCAGTGTAGAGTTATATAATGCATCTAAACAGCATTATATGGGTCTACACTGACTATATAATGCCGCTCAATTGGCATTAAATGGTCCGTGTAGCTGGGGCCTGATATTACAACACTGAAGGGGAGAATTATTAACTTGGGCTTGTCATCGATATATTCTAAAATTAGTTGCTAAATGGAGATGTGCAAATTCTCCTCCCATTTGTGATGGCCTGCCAGATAAATTATGGTAGACTGCTAAAATGATGACGCTGAAATGTCTGAGTCAGAGAAGGTCTACAACGGGGTGACAGATATGCTGAAGAGTAGACATTATTGTACAGTTTTCAAAATAGAATAATGGTTCTTTTTACTAAATGTTATTATTATTATTATTGTTGTATTGTCGAAGGCTTTCATGGCCGGAATCACTCAGTTCTTGTGGGTTTTTTCGGGCTATATGGCCATGTTCTAGAGGCATTTCTCCTGACGTTTCGCCTGCATCTATGGCAAGCATCCTCAGAGGTGAAGACCTCACCTCTGAGGATGCTTGCCATAGATGCAGGCGAAACGTCAGGAGAAATGCCTCTAGAACATGGCCATATAGCCCGAAAAAACCCACAAGAACTGAATTATTATTATTATTATTATTATTTGTATTTTATGCCCCTGGTGGCACAGTGGGTTAAAGCGCTGAGCTGCTGAACTTACTGACCAAAAGGTCACAGGTTCGAATCTAGGGAACGGGGTGAGCTCCCACTGTTAGCCCCAGCTTCTGCCAACCTAGCAGTTCGAAAACATGCAAATGTGAGTAGATCAATAGGTATTACTCCAGCGGGAAGGTAACGGCACTTCACACAGTCATGCCAGCCACATGACCTTGGAGGTGTCTACGAACAACGCCGGCACTTTGGCTTAGAAATGGAGATAGGCACCAACCCGCAGAGTCAGACACAACTGGACTTAATGTCAGGGGAAAACATTTTCCTTTTCCTTAGATGTTAATATTGTGTAAACCACCTTGAGTCCCCCCAGGGTGGAGAAAAGCTGTATATAAATACTGTAAATAATAAAATAACAATAATTTATTTATTCATTGCATTGGTCCTTTTCCAGTTTTCTTTTTTAATTTTTAATTTTGTTATTATTTTTTCTATTGGGTTGTAGTCCATTTCTAAAAATATTTTTGGGGTGAGGTGTTGCTCTTCAGTGTCATCCATTTCGTTTAAATTTGAAAGCAACAGAGGAATAGCTCCAGTTCAATGCAGCATTGGATTTTCCTCTCTCGTGTACATCCTACCATAATATATACTATCAAGGCCACTTTTTTATCCTCAGAGCTACCTCCTAGAGAGAAATAGTCAGTGCTAAACTAGGGAAAATGTCTGTTCCAAAGGAGTAACATGACAGAAGCAGGCTGAGAACTCGTATGCTGTTTTTCCCTAACAGGGCAGATATGGATGAGCTCTGGCAACAGTTACAGGCCACAGATTCACACCTGGATGAGACTGATCGGACAGACACAGGACAGAGGAGCCATCTCAATAAACTGAACAGAGAGCTAAGGGAGCTTAACCACACTGTCAACCACTTGAGGAAGATGTCAAATGGCAGCTTCAATGGTAAGAAACATAGCACCAGAATGGCAGGAAATAAATCTCCCCGCAAATCCTGGCCAAAGAATGCCCCTCTCCTAAAACATGTCTGGTTTCCCTGTGCTGGCAGAATCTTTCCATAGCATCCTGGAGTCCTTCCAGCAGTCAGAACTGGCCCAGCAGCGAGCAAATGCCTCTGTTCAAGGACCACAAAGTCCAGTGGGTCATGCCAAGCACACGCGTCAGGCCACAGTTGAACTCCTGAGACGCCGCGGAGATGCTTTCCGCAAGAGTGCAGCCGCTCACCGAGAGTCACTGCTGGACATCCAGGGACAAATCGACAGCCTTGGACTGAGCGCGATCAATGAGAAAGTGAGTTTTGCAGTGAGGGTGGATTGGAGGTGAACAAATAGAGGGAAACAGGGAGGTGTTTGGGTTGTTGTGAGGATGCCTGCCATATATGTAGGTGAAACATCAGGAGAGAATGCTTCTGGAACATGGCCATACAGCCTGGAAAACACACAATAAACCAGTGATTCCAGCCATGAAATCCTTCAACAACATGGGAAGGTGTTTGTTGGAGATGAGAGGACTCAGGCTGCCAATTGCTCTCTCTGAACCCGGTACCTACCCTCCTTTCCCTCCTTTCTGACGGGGGATAGGGCTCTTCGTCAATGAGATGCTTTTCCTGCACTGATCCTGGACTCTTCTCCTAATCTAGATCTGTGGTGCTTCAGGAGAGGAGGAGTGTGAACCCTGTGGAGGAGCCTCCTGCCGAGACAGCTTAGGCCAGCGACATTGCGGCGGCCCTGGCTGCACTGGAGCTCTCCCTGTGTCCGCGAAAGCACTGGACACAGCCCAGAACATCTCTCTTCAGCTAGAGGACACGTTGAAGCAGCTAGGCACCATTTCTAGCAAGGTACAGTGCCAGCAGAAGTATGTGTAAGTCATAAAGAAGAGATGCCATTAAAATGAAAGCAAAGTCTTCCCCATTGTATTATATCAGGCTTTGTTTTGCTAGGAAGAACATGACTAGAGTTTGGAGAACTATGATTTGCTGTTTATTGGCAGTGTGTTGATCAATTTTAGTAAAGGGAAAGTTTTTCCCCTGTCATTAAGTCCAGTTGTGTCTGACTCTGGGGGTTGGTGCCCAATTTTATTTTAATTTTTTTATTTTACATTTTATTTTATTTCAATTTTATCTTATCATTTTTATTCTGTTTCTATTTACATGTATTTTCTAATGTCCATCATCTGTTTTGCAGTGTATTGGATTTGGACAACAGAAAACATACAGTGGGTCGCTGTGAGTTTTCCAGGCTGTATGGCCATGTTACAGATGCATTCTCTCCTGATGTTTCACCCACATCTATGGCAGGCATCATCAGAGGTTATTCAATGCTAATCAAGGTGGCCAACTGCAACATTCACTCTTGCCTCAAGAAGACAAGAGTTCTTTCTCCCATCCTGGACATTCTACAGATACATAAACCCCAGTTACCTAGTTTTCAACACACCTTACAGCCTCTGAGGATACCTGCCATCGATGTGATTGACACATCAGGCGAGAATGCTTCTGCAACATAGCCATACAGCCTGGAAAACTCATGGCAACCAAGTGATTCCAGCTATGATAGCCTTCAACAACACACAAGACATACAGTTTAGAATATAATATCGATAGAAGTCAGGACAGACACTGCTGAGCTGATGTTAAAATGCCTTCTCTTCTAAACTGAAACTATTTAAGGTCCCTTTCTTGGTTCAGAACCTTGGTTTATGATTCTGGCCTTTTCTCAACGGCAGTGAAAACCAGAATCGACAGCAGGTATTCCTATATCTACAGTCCTTGCATTGTGTGAACTCTCTGCTGGCGTGTCCATTTGCCATATCATCCTGGACAGTTTGGGCTTGTAAGCTTGCTTTCAATTTTTTAGGTGCAAGAAATCCAAGACTTGGCACAGGATGCCAGGAATCACGCCCAGGAGACACTGGGACAAGCTCAGGGAGCCCGGAGCCGTGTGGAGAAGTCAACAGCTAAGCTGAGGGAATTCATCCAAAAAATAAAGGACTTCCTAGCAGGTACCAGAGTATTGTGTACCCAATATAAGAATATCAGAACAAGTGAGACAGTAGAAGGGAGAACGAATATGTTCCCTGGCTCCCCCAGTAAAACTGACATCTAATATTCTGTGAAAGCATATTTATATAAATGGGAACTCGGGGCAGTTCACAGCAAACAGCAAACATTCAATGCCATAAAGTGCAACCAGAAATAAAACAAGCATATGATATCAAAAGTTATGCTATCAAATACAGTTCACATTTATTGCCTTATTAAAGAGGAAAAATGGCAAATTTAAAATTGCTTTTTTAAACCTGAGAGAACACCTCTCCAGGAATTTCTAGGTCCTCCAGCATGAGACTATGGACAACATCTGCTGGAAGTTGATGATAGAGTTGTCAAGTGTAGACTATAGTGATATTTGGAGTGTGTGAGAAGGAATAGTAATAATAATAATAATAATAATAATAATAATAATAGCGTGTTCCCAGTGGTGATCGGCACACTGGGTGCCTAAAGACCTTGGCCTGCACTTGAACACAATCGGCGCTGACAGAATTACCATCTGCCAACTGCAGAAGGCCGCCTTACTGCGATCTGCACGCATTATTCGCCGATACATCACACAGTCCTAGACACTTGGACTAATCGGTGATTATTTGAATGTATTATACTGTTTTTATATTGTTTTTATTGAATCTGTATAGTTATGCTTTTTGTTGTGGGCACCATGCTGTGCCGGTTGTTAGTCGCCCTGAGTTCCTCTGTGGAGGTTGAGGTAAGACAAGATATAAATGTCCGAAATAAATAATAAATAAATACATGTCCAATAATGGTAATGCTTTGTTCTTTCCACCTAGAGGAAGGGGCTGACCCTGAGAGCATTGAGCTTGTGGCCCAGCAAGTGCTGAACATCTCCTTACCCAGCAGTCCAGGTCAAATTAACAGCCTGATTAAAGAAATCCATGACAGAATTGGAGAGCTGGATGGTGTGGACATCATCCTGAACAATACAGTGCACAACCTGACCCGTGCCAGGGAACTACTGGCAGAAGCAGAAGGGGCCAAGTGAGTCTGCCCAAGAGAAGAGTAACGCATGTCTTTGTCATTTTATTTTTTCTGCAATCAAATTATAATATATTTTATATTGTCATAACTCATTGTACTACTGGTATATTACTTCTCATCATGTTACTGGCTTAATTTGCTAAGTGCAATTTTCTGGCAAAGTGTTAATTGTTACCTTTAAGATTCTAAATCAGTGGTTCTCAACCTGTGGGCCTTCAGAAATCATATCAGCTGGTAAACTGGCTGGGATTTCTGAGAGTTGTAGGCCAAATCATCAGGGGACCCGGTTGAGAGGTGATTAGCTGTCCTATATATTCAGAGATCAGGCTATGGGATTCTTCTTCATATATATACTCAGGTCCTCTGGGGACATTTACTTCAGTGAGCCCAGTTCTCTTTGGCTGCCCCCAGGTTGTGGAATGACCTGCCAGAACAGACTCTACCAAACATCAATGAAACCATCTCTTCTGGTACACCTATCCCGAGGATTTTAAATTATGAATTTTGAAGTATGAATTGATTGTTTTAAATGTGCATTGGTTTTTAATGCTCTTTGAACTGGTGTTATGTATTCTTCGGCTTAGAAATGGAGATGAGCACCAACCCCCAGAGTCGGACACAACTGGACTTAATGTCAGAGGAAAACCTTTACCTTTATGTTTTTATCCAATTTTTAGGGAGCCCCTAGTAGCGCAGCGGGTTAGAGCACTGAGATGCTGAACTTGCTGACCAAAACATTGGCAGTTCAAATCCGGGGAGCGGGGTGAACTCCTGCTGTTAGCTCCAGCTTTTGCCAACCTAGCAGTTTGAAAACATGCAAATATGAATATATGTACCACTTCTGCAGGAAGGCAACGGTGCTCCATGTAGTCATACTGGCCACATGACCTTGGAGGTGTCTACAGACAACGCCGGCACTTTGGCTTAGGAATGGAGATGAGCACCACCCCCCAGAGTCAGACACAACTAGACTTAATGTCAGGGAAAACTTTACTTGTACTTTGTATCCAATTTCTTGTTGCATTTTAATCTGCTGTAGCAGGGCCAGCCCTTAGTAATTTTCAAGTGTAAGCAAACAGTATTGTGCCCCCCCCCCAACAAGAATCCTGCCTCTCTCTCTCGCCTGCCTTGCTTGCTGTGTGTGTGTGTGGGGGGGGTGCCCCAAGAACGCCCTCGGGGATTGGCGCTATACACAAATGCATATCTTGCCTATTGCTTCCGCCACACCTGTGCTGTAATTCTTCACCTCAATCAATGGGGAGATGTAGGTAAGAAATAATGATTACAATATGAAGCTGCTACAGTTTTATTGATCTTAAAGGTGCCATCATATTTGTTCTTCCTTTAGAGAGCAAGCAGAGGGTGTAGAGGCAATAATCTCAGAAACCCGTGCAGAACTAAGCGGTGTGAGGGACAAAGTGAGTGCAGCAGAAAGAGCCATGAAGAGTGCCAAGGAGGCCATTCGCAGTGTGGAAGGCAGAATCAGACAGGTGAGGCATAGGCTGCCAACTGGGAGCCAACCTGCTTACATTGCTCTGGGCCATGAAAGTACTTAGTATAGTGTTGCTGCTCTTAAATCATACTGCTTTAAGCTTTCTTGTATTGTTATTGTTAGTACTATCTTCATTCAGATATAAACCAGTATTTGTGCGCCTTTATAAAGTAACAACAAGAGACAACAGCCAACCCCCCAAAAATGTACAATCTAATATAAAGCAGACTGGTAAATGTATACAATCCAAGTTTTTGTTTATTATGTGTTATATCATGGCATCTGAAACTTTTTCCACTCATGACCCCTTCCTGCCTGATAAATGTTTAGGTGAGCTCTACTATATTGGTGTATAAAATAGATATAAAAATCAGACATTTACTGATAATAAATCAGCATTTACAAGACTTGCTAAACAGGCCGATATTCCTTTTTATGAAGTACTAGCTTGGGTACCCGGTGTTGGCCAGGTTATTTTAAAAAGTCAGTTTTTTAACTGCCCAAAATGCATAAGGTTGTGGATGAACTATAACTGACATCATGCCATATTAACCCCAAGAAACTCCATCAGTACTTAAAGTTTGTTATGTTGGGCAAGTTTGCTCTAGATGTATCATTGGTGGGGTTTGGTGTGATCTCTGGCTGTAAGGTAAACAACAACTCCCACTATGGTGAGTTAGTCCCCTCAAACCCCTCCAGTAGTTTGAGCTAGTCATGGGGGTTCTGTGTCCCGAGTTTGGTCTAGGTTCATCATCGGTGGAGGTCATAGTTTCTCTGGTTGTGGGTGAACTACAACTCTCAGAAAGGAAGGTCAGTGTCCATGCCCTCCCAACCCCACCCCCAGTAATCAAATTTCAGCATATTGCGTATGTGTGCCAAGTTTGGTCCAGATCCATCGATGTTTGGGTTCACAGTTCTCTCTGGATGTAGGAGAACTACATCTCCCCCAAATCAAGATGAATTTTCCCCAAAGACCTCAAGTATTTTTTATTGATCATGGGGCTTCTGTGTGACAAGTTAGGTCCACGTCCATCTTTAGTGGAGTTCAGAGTGCTCTTAGATTGCGGGTGAACTATACATCCCAACTCCTATAAAACATGGTGAATTCTCCCCAGACATCTCTAGTATGTTCAGTTGCTGATCAGTTCCTCTGTTTGCTGTGTGCCAAAGAAAATAATAGGAAAGGGTTATGGGAGAGGCAGTGGGCAGGGTCATGCAATTCCACACCAATGGAGAGCGTCAGAAACAATGGGATGTCTGTGGTGGAGGAAACATAAAATCTAGGATGAAATGTCCCCGTATGAAAGCCTTCACTTGATTAGTGGGCAGTGTGGTGGATATTGGCAGGGCTCTTTTACATGTTTACGACATTCTCTATAACCTGCAGTGTAATTGGAGGGAAGACCATTGGTGTCTCCTGAATAGTACGAGCTATCGCTATTTGTGGAAGCCTGTCTGTGTAAGCGGACACCCCAGACACACACACACACACATACATACATACATATTATCTCTTTATTATGGATATCGATATCTAATGCATTTTCTGAAGAGTTCACTGGAAACACTGCAGGTTGTTACTAACAGATTTGTGTTAGGAGTCATTCATAAACCTTTTACTACTGCCAATTTTTGTGACCCCCAACTTTCAGCTAAGGGAACTCCATTCAGGGTCAGCATCCACATTTTAAGGAGCAGTGTATTATATAAACCAGTTTCATTTGACATTCAGTAGGACATTCATTGTTTCATTTCGGATTTCCCCAAAAATAACATTAGAAGCCATAGAAGCTGCTAGGTGATATGACAGTCTAGTAGCTCAGTGTGGATGATTTATCAGAAATATTAAGATTAGCTGGGTATTCTTGATTACAAAAGTGTGATTCAAGCACTGAAAGAGTTAGTAGGCCAAAGCCCATTAGAGTCAGTGGGCCAAAGCTTATGTCATCTTGAGTAAAGTGAGGTAAACCTCTGTGTGAGAGAAGCCTCGTGTGAGAAAGCTCCGGTGTGAAGGCTGCTGTGTGTAAAGCTACTGTGTAATTGGGTTGTTGTAGTTTTTTCGGGCTATATGGCCATGTTCTAGAGGCATTTTCTCCTGACATTTCGCCTGCATCTAAAATCTTTAACGAAAAAACCTCTAAAATTACAACAGCAAAACAACAGAGAGGAAACAATTCACCTCTCAACAAAAGATTGCCCCAGGCACTGCCAGGCCGTCAAATGCTAATCAAGGTGGTCAGTTGAAACATTCACACCTAGCTCCAACAGACAAGCGTTCTTTGCCCCACCCTGGTCATCCCACAGATATATAAACCCATTTTCCTAGTTCCAATAGACTTCACTACCTCTGAGGATGCTTGCCATAGATGCAGGCGAAACGTCAGGAGAAAATGCCTCTAGACCATGGCCATATAGCCTGAAAAAACCTACAACAACCCAGTGATTCTGGCCATGAAAGCCTTCGACAACATACTGTGTAATTGTTTATTTGTGTTCTGGAGACCTTGTTGCTGTAAATAGTGCAACCATACTATTTTACTACAAAGAAAAGCATCCCATGGAAGAGATAACATTGGTCTGTGTATTTTTGTTCTTTTTATCACTTTGGGCTACTGATGCTGGGTCACACTGCTGCTAAGTTACTCAGCTGTACATTTATGAGGAGGGTCTTTTGTTAATAAGCCCACTCACCCAACATGATGATCACTGTGCTTTAGTTTGAACTAACTGTACAAGTTTCAGAGAGCAATATAAAAAGATAGCGGTAGAATGATCATAGTTTGTCATGCATCCGCATGTTTGCTCTTTCAAAGCAACTTGCAAGTGATTGAAAACTGAGAAGACAATTTCATCTCTTACAGGCTGAGCGCCAGCTCCAAACACTGGTCAGCAAGGAGTCACAGGTGGAAAGTCGCCTTGGAGACCTGGCACAGGATGTGGCCGATTTACAAAAGAAGTCCCAGGCTAATCAGCAGCTGGCGCAGGAGGCCAAGGGGAAAGCAGAGCGTGCCACGGCTGCTGCAGGGAGGCTGGAAAATGTGAGAGTTCCTTTTCCTTTTGATCAGTGGACAATACAGAGTGGAGAGGTTTGATCCCCAAATAGTTTTTGCACCCCCTATGTTCCACTGAAATATACCACTAAGATTTGACCAATAGTCCCACCATCAAAATCAAGTGGAAGATTCCTTAATGCAATGAAATTAAGCAGAAAGGGCTTTCTCACATATTTATTTATTTATTTATTTATTTCAAATATTTGTACCCCACACTTCTCAACCCCCCTGGGTTAACATGGTTAACAGTAGACCAGTAGTTGGGTTCTGGATCAAACAGGTAAGGAATATCAATGGGGTTACAGTAAACTAATTATACAGTATAGGAGCCTGGTAGCTGCCTTGGAGCTGATTTGTTAGAGCTTCATAGGGTGTTGCAGAATGCTATCAACTTACAGGATCAGGCAATAGATACAATGATACTGAAGACACTTCTTGACACACAGGATCATATTGCCTCTTCAACATTGTTTGATAAGGGACCAGAGCGATGCTGATATTGGCGGTAAGGAGTCTGGATGGTCAAAGTCTTCATCCATCTTTATTGTAAGACAGATATCACAGGAAAGTCCTGTGCTATGTAACTAGTGAATGTTAATGTCTGTGTTTCCAGGATGTGGAAAAGGTGATGCAGGGATACCAGAAGTTGCAAGACAAGTTGGGGGAACTGCCCCAGGATGTACTGTTCAAGCTGAAAAACCTGAGGGATGAAGCTCAGAATCTCCTAAACAAGGCGAATGACAGCAAGCGAAAGTTGGAAGGTAATGATACTTATAAGAGAGATGTTTTGAGCAAAATCAAAACCAAAAAGTAGGGAGTTCAGTGGTGGTGAGGATGGTGTTAAAAATGTATTCAATACATAAAAAATCAAAGAGTTAAGTCATTTTTTCATTAGTAATGTTAAATAAGGTCCCTTCTACACTGCCATATAAAATCCAGATTATCTGCTTTAAATTTATTTATTTATTATTTTACAGTATTTATATTCTGCCCTTCTGACCCCGAAGGGGACTCAGGGCAGATCACAGAACACATATATGGCAATCATTCAGTGCTGATTATACAATGACAAGACAAACAGATAGAGGTATATATAGGCTTTTGCTCATCATTCAGTGTCAATTATACATTGACAAGACAGACAACAAATAGAGGTGTATATATAGGCTTTTTCTCATCATTCAGTATCTTTGGAGGCTGTGCTCGGTTCCAGCCACAGGTGGGTGCTATCGCTCCATCTCCTTGCCGAAGACCTTTCTTTGTTCATAAACTTTCCTCCGAAATGTCGTGATTGAACTATCTCCCCGCTTAATGCAGTTCCTATTCGTCTACTCACATTGCTGTTTTCGATCCACCAGGTGGCCGGAGGAGCTGGGCTGAAGGTGAGGAGCTCACCCTGACCCGGCTTCGAACTGTGAACCTTTCAGTTCGCAAAATTTAGTGCAGCTGCAGCTGGTGATTAACCTGCTGCACCAAAGCTGGATTATATGGCAGTGTACACTCAGATAATCCAGTTGAAAGCAAATAATGTAGATAATCTGATTTGATAATCTGGATTATATGGCAGTGTACTATGGTAGCTGATCTGTGGGAAGAAGCTAAATGAGATTTCTCAATTAATAGACAAAAGTAATGTGTTTGTGAGAATAGGATTAATATAGCTGAACATTCAGAGTTTACAGAAAAATTGTTCCTAGGAGCACTGAGGATCAAGCATGAATTGAATGAAATAACATTAGGTGAAGGTAAAAGTTTCGCTTTGACATTAAGTCTAGTCATGTGCAACTCTGGGGAGTGCTGCCCATCTCCATTTCTAAGCCAAAGAGCTGGCGTTGTCCTTAGACACCTCCAAGGTCATGTGGTCAGCATGACTGCATGGAGCACTATTACCTTCCCACCGAAGCAATACCTATTGATCTACTCACATTTGCATGTTTTCAAACTGCTAGGTTGGCAGAAGCTGAGGCTAAAGTGAGAGCTCACCCTGCTCCCCAAATTCGAACTGCCAAACTTTCGGTCAGCAAGTTCAGCAACTCAGCAGTCCCACTGCACCACCGGGGGATCCTGAAATAACATTACCTTTAAATTAACACTTATACAACATTCACCAGCAGAAGCATTTCGTAGTGCCACAATCTTTACATAGTTAGGTTGGCAACATTATTATCCCGATGTTTTGTGTGGTGGTTAGGGCTGAAAGATAGCGGCTGGTGTTGGAGGTTGTAAATGTAAAATAAAATAAACAGAAGCTTTACCACAGTTTCTGAACCAAAATATACCTTGCAGTATGATAGATAATGTGTCACTGAGATCTGTGTAACGAGTAACAGTAACCTTAGTGGGTTGTTGTAGGTTTTTTTGGGCTATATGGCATGGTCTAGAGCAGGGGTCCACAAACTTTTTAAACAGAGGGCCAGATCACAGTCCCTCAAACTGTTGTCGGGCCAGATTATAATTCGAAAAAAACATGAATGAATTCCTATGCACACTGCAAATATCTTATTTATAGTGCAAAAACATTTAAAAACAATAYAATAATTAAAATCTAGAACAATTTAAACAAATATAAACTTATTAGTATTTCAATGGAAAATGTGGGCCTRCTTTTGGCTGATGAGATAGGATTGTTGTTGTTATTGTGTGCTTTCAAGTAGTTTCATACTTAGATCGACCCAGAGAGACGGACGGGTAAATGACCTTGGAGGGCCGCATCYGGCCCCCGGGCCTTAGTTTGAGGACCCCTGGTCTAGAGGCATTCTCTCCTGACGTTTCACCTGCATCTATGGCAAGCATCCTCAGAGGTAGTGAGGTGTCAAACAGAGCAACAATATATACAGCAGTCWCTCTGAATTCTTACMGAGAACAGAGGGAATAAACAGTCCTTTTAAACAGTCCTCAGAATATGCTTCATGCCTTAGAAATGATCAGGCTTCAGAGAGTTGGCAGCTATTTCCTTCCTGGCTGTTTCCAGTCAGTGCTCTCTTCAGTCTCCGAAGTGAAAGTGGCAGTTAGAACCGTTTGTCTAAGCAGCAAGTCAGAGATAGTAGCCAATCAGAATTCTGGCTCCTGGCATGCTCAGTCAATCACCTGCTGACATATGCCTTTCCAGACAACCCATTTCATCATGGTGTTTCTTACAAATCTCCACAACAGAAAAGGGATACAAACAAGGGAACTATGGGAGGAAGAATTGGGAATAAAAATAGGAAAAAGGAATTGAGAAAAATTATGGAGAGCAAAACACCTCAATAATTTATCAATTAGGATAAAAGAAAACTACTACAAGATGGTATGGAAATGGCACCTGACCCTAACAAAGATACACAATATGGGTAAGGGTTGTTCAGAAAAATTTCGGAGGGATTGCCAAGAAAGGGGTACATATATCTACATGTGGTGGCAATGCAAATATGTACAGAGGTTCTGGAGAAAAGTTGTAGTAGAAATAGAAAGTAGAGCCTTAAATACGTATGTGCTGGTGGAGAACACAGCCTCTTGGTCATTCTGCTGTAATAAACCCCCTTCTTTGCCTCTATTAATGAACAGTTTTAACTCCACTGTGATTGTTTTTATCAGTTTCTGAAAATCTTTGCCTGTCTTTCAGAGCTGGAAGAGCGCTTTCAGACGAATGAGAAAGAAATGAAGGACAAAGCAAACACTCTGCAGTCGCTGGAGAAACAAGTGACAGACCTGCTGGAGTTCATCCGTAACAAAGCCACTGCCTATGCGACCTGTTAGGGGCCAGGCTTTTGCCGCCAGCCCCTTGGGCCTGATTCCTGCCAGCTCTGGACTCTACCATGGTAGGGCCCTCCCATACGAATCACTGAATGGCTCCTGTCTTGCGAGGCTTTGGCCGTCGATCCAGGGCCTTAATGTAACCAGCATTACATTTTCATTTGATTGTACCATAGCACTGTGAGCACGCCCAGTCTTGTGTGATTTCAGAAACTGATCAGGGTTGGTTTCGGTATTTGAATGGGATGGCAACAGAAAATACTATGCCGGGGATCTCTAGGTAGGGTTAGGAAAAGAATCCTGCCTGAAACCCTGGAAAGCCATTTCTGCCAATAGTGGCTAGTTGGGCCAACAGTCTGGATTCAGTTTAAGGCAGCTTCCTATGTTAGGCCATTTGGCATCAGGTATATGGGGGTAGTAATTTTAATATCACAATCTCAGAGACACAGTTACATTGTACTTAGTCCATGCTTTGTTCCAGGACTCTGGGAAAAAATAAATAAATATGTCTATCTCTGAGGGTATCTACTCAAACAAGTCCATCCAAGCTTCATTAATAGCATAGTTCCCACCTGCACAAGGTTTTCTTCCCTTTCCTAGGCTCATTTGCTGTGACCATGGAAACAGCGCACTTCTTGGACCTACCCTGGGCACAAAAGGATTGCCTGGATACCATGGAAACAGAATTCTGCCTGTTCACATCCAGCACCAGGTTGCCTGTATTTCCAGTTGCCTCTTGTATTTCCAAGTCTTTCTTCTCCTTCAGGCTGAGGCCCTACAGCTGCCCTTATTCTTAGTACATTGAAGAAGACACATCACTTTCCCGTCCATCATCCCTATTCAACCGTCCCTTCTCCCTCCAACAGTCAGGGAGGTAATAATGTAGAAAAAAGCTGAGACACCATTACATCCAGTTCTCTTCCAATAAGAAGAGGTCTTTCATATTCCTCTCTAGATTTTGAGGTGCTGTCTATCACACCCCTTATATTTATCATCCCAGTAAGTTGAAAAAGAATACTGACCATGATCAGGGCAGGTGGATTTTGCTTTATGTATTGTCGAAGGCTTTCATGGCAGGAATCAGTAGGTTGTTGTGAGTTTTCCAGGCTGTCTGGCCATGTTGCAGAAGCATTCTCTCCTGACGTTTTGCCTGCAGCTATGACAGGCATCCTCAGAGGTTGTGAGGTCTTGTTTCCAGACAAGAAACAATCAGGGCCAGCTAATCACCTCCCAACAAAGGATTCCCTTGGTCAGTAAAAAGCCAGACCTTGAAACTGCTAGGCCATTAAATGCTAATCAAGGTGGTCAATTGCAACATTAACACCTCCAACAGACAAGAGTTCTTTCTCCCTCCCTGGATATTCCACAGATGCAATGGTCCTCCGCCATCAACTCCTCTGGACCAGTCACATTGTCTGAATGCCTAACCGTCATCTCTCAAAGCAGTTGTTATACTCCAAATTTAAGAACGGAAAACGGAATGTTGGTGGGCAGGAAAAGAGATTTTAAGATGGGCCCAAAGTGAACCTTAAAAACTCTGGCATAGATACTGAGAACTAGGAAGCCCTGGCCCTTGAGAGCTCCAACTGGAGGTCAGCTGTGACCAGCAGTGCTGTAGAATTTGAAGAGGCATAAATGGAGGGCAAAAAAAGAGAAAGGCATGTCAAGCCAACCCCGGCCAGGACCATCTAAAACTGATGCCCTCACTGCAGGAGATCATGCAGATCAAGACTAGGGCTCCACAGCCACTTATGGACCCACCGCCAGTACACTGATCTTGGAAGACAATCCTACTCGGACAACGAGGGATCGCCTAAGTAAGTAAATCTCATTTTCCTAGTTTCCAACAGACCTCACAACCTCTGAGGGTGCCTGCCATTGATGCAGGCGAAATATCAGATGTGAATGCTTCTGGAACATGTCCGTACAGCCTGGAAAACTCACAACAACCCAGATTTTGTTTTGTTTTGATGACACACATTGATGGAATATACATCCATCTGTGGCTATTGACCATAGCAGGTTAGAAATGAATAATGCTCAACGCCAGACAATGGGATCATAATAAGGGGCAAAGCAAACGCTATCTTGGGTTGTTGTGAGTTTTCCGGGCTGTATGGCCATGTTCCAGGAGCACTCTCTCCTGACGTTTCACCCACATCTATGGCAGGCATCCTTGAGGCTATCTTGAAAGAATTTGCTGGAGATTTTCTCAGATGTATATATTCTAGCCAGTCCCAGAAGCATTCTGCTAATACAAAAAATTCTTGCACTATCTCTGATGTCCAGAATGTAAGAACAAGTGTAAGAACTTGCAACTTGTTCATCTTTTAGTGAGGTCCTGAAATTGTCTATCTCCTCTTTTGATCCTTCTGTGGAATGTTCCATTTCAATCCCTGCCTTGTCCTCATGCTTGCATTGTGGAAAGACTTCAACAAAAAAATGTGTGATCTTTCCAATGTTGCAGTATTTCAGCATCTATGATCTCTTGCCAGGAGAGCTGTAGCTTAGTAACATCCAGAGTGGCATGCAGTCCGTAATACTCCTCTACATGGACTTTGCCTTACTCTTTATCCCAGTGTGGCAAACTCCATTTTATTCTCCTCCCCTTAGAAATGGCAGTTTAATTCCCTAGAAATAAATATGAGTGGTCAAATACTAAAGCAAATATGACTATTTACAATGAGTTCTTCCCATTTACCCTTTGGCCCAGTAAACTTATGATAGTTTTGCCACATATCATAGAATCATAGAATCCTAGAGTTGGAAGAGGCCTCATGGGCCAGCCAGTCCAACCCCTGCCTAGAAGCAGGAAAATCACATTCAAAGCACCCCTGACAGATACCCATCCAACACCTGTTTAAAAGCCCCCAAAGAAGGAGCCTCCATCACACACAGAGGCAGAGAGTTCCACTGCTGAACAGCTCTCACAGTCAGGAAGTTCTTCCTAATGTTCAGGTGGAATCTCCCTTCCTGTAGTTTGAAGCCATTGTTCCACATCCTAGTCTCCAGGGCAGCAAAAAACAAGCTTGCTCCCTCCTCCCTATGGCTTCCCTACATATTTCTACATGGCCTCATCATGTCTCCTCTCAGCCTTCTCTTCTTCAGGCTAAACATGCCCAGCTCCCTAAGCCGCTCCTCATAGGGCTTGTTCTCCAGACCCTTGATCCTTTTAGTTGCCCTCCTCTGGACACATTCCAGCTTGTCAACATCTCTCTTCAATTGTGGTGCCCAGAATTGAACACAATATTCCAGGTAAAGTGGTTGACTTCCCTGGATCTAGACACTAGGCTCCTATTGATGCAGGCCAAAATCTCATTGGCTTTTTTTGCCTCCGCATCAAATTGTTGGCTCATGTTTAACTTGTTGTCCATGAGGACTCCAAGATCTTTTTCACACGTACTGCTCTCGAGCCAGTCCCCCATTCTGTATCTTTGCATTTCGTTTTTTCTGCCTAAATGGAGTATCTTGCATTTGTCACTGTTGAACTTCATTTTGTTAGTTTTGGCCCATCTCTCTAATCTGTTAAGATTGTTTTGAATCTGCTCCTGTCTTCTGGAGTATTGGCTATCCCTCCCAATTTGGTGTCATCTACAAACTTGATGATTGTGCCTTCTAACCCTTCATCTAAGTCATCTAAGATGTTGAACAGAACCAGGCCCAGGACAGAACCTACTTATGGCACTCCACTCATCGCTTCTTCATATGAGGAGATGGTGTGGCCAAATTTAAGCCATTCCCTCCTGAAATGCTATCTCTCGGGGTAGAGCCTTTAGCATCCTTTCCTGTGGTCCCTGACCTTTGTGATCTTCTGGTGCCTATTTACATCTCTGTGCCTCTGGAAGAAAGAAGTAGTTAAGATGGTGTTCTTAGGGATTAAGAAAATGTCGCGCCTTCAGACTTTTGAGATAGCAGCAACATGAGCAACAGCTTCACCTTTGAGCTGCACTCTTATCTAACTTGTGTTAAGACAGAATTTAGACGTCGTTATTTCTGTATCGAGACAATTCCTAGAGCTGCCCAGCCTGAGAGAAGCTCTATTACCTTTAATAAATGTGTGGCAGAAATAAATCAAGTGTATGAGCATTTTCTCTGTAGTGATGTGAAAATCAACATCAGAGATCTCTTTGCTATTACCTTAATCACTAAATTAAGAATAGATTGCAAATGTTGTCTCTGAATAAAGGTCTTTTTAAAGAATATAATCCCCACACATTTATTTCCAAGTATCTAGCACAAAGAGGAAAACCATATATTTTGCATGTGTTTTTGTGACTGTTTTAGAACTGGGAAGAAAGTGGTGTAATATCTTCAGGTCACCTGCCTCGGGTGAGGAGCCCCCTGGTGGCACAATGGGTTGAACCCTTGTGCCAGCAGGACTGCTGACCAAAATGTAGGCAGTTCAAATCTGGGGAGCAGGGTGAGCTCCCATCTGTCAGCTCCAGCTTCTCGTGTGGGGACATGAGAGAAACCTTCCACAGGATGGTAAAACATCTGGGTGTCCCCTGGGCAACGTCCTTGCAGACAGCCAATTTTTTCACACCAGAAGTGACTTGCAGTTTCTCAAGTTACTCCTGACACACACACAAAAAACCAGCCTCAGGCAAAAATCCAGTTTTCCCCATTAGAACAGATTTTACATGTACATAAAAACATGATTTGTAAGGCAATGATAAATTGGGACTAGTACATACCTTAGCTTTCATTTGTGCAATGTCTGTATCCCAAAGGGATTATACTAAATTTTGCTGTGACTTCAGAAACATGCTTTGCATTGTAATGCAAAATGGGCAAACATCCAGGGATACCTATATCATATGGACAGGACAGCAGATCATTGCATAATTCTACTTCACATCAGAACTGCTCTCTTGTATTATTGTTGTTTATATGCCATTTTAATACAGATTTATTTTTCAAAAGATGCATTTCCCCGGCACTAGCCACCTATAAAAGGAAAGGTTTCCCCTAGACATTAAGTATAGTCAGAGGCGGCCCTAGGTAATTTTCAACGGTAAGCAAACAGTATTTTGCCCCCCCCCCCCCCCAAACCAATCACTGATATATATTTTCTGTTTGTCGTGGGAGTTCTGTGTGCCATATTTGGTTCAATTCCATCATTGGTGGAGTTCAGAATGCTCTTTGATTGTAGGTGAACTATACATCCCAGTACTACAACTGCGCGTTGATTGTAGGTGAACTATACATCCCAGTAACTACAACTCACATATGTCAAGGTCTATTTTCCCCCAAGAGCGCCTCAAGAGCACCCCTGGGCAAAATCAACTATATTGCAAATGCTTACTTTGCGTAATGGGTTGAGCCGCCCCTGAGTATAGTCGAGTCCAACTCTGGAGGGTGGTGCTCATCACCATTTCTAAGCTGAAGAGCTGGTGTTGTCCATAGACACCTCCTAGGTCATGTGGCTGGCATGACTGCATGGAGCAGAGTGGTACCTATTGATGTACTCACATTTTGCATGTTTTCGAACTACTGGGTTAGCAGAAGTTGAGGCTAATGACAGGAACTTACCCCACTCTGCTGATTCGAACCACCGACCTTTTGGTCAGCAAGTTCCACAGCTCAGCGGTTTAACCTGCTTTGCCACCACGGCCCCTTGTCCACCTATAGTCACTTCTAAATAATTAAATTAACATCCCTATGTGATGCACTAGGGAGGACAAAGAGTTTTCTCCCAGTGCATGTTGCATAGACAAATACGGTACATGTGGGGTGAGCTTACAAGTGATTCACTGTGATACAAATGAGTGCCTGGTGGAGTTTAATTTTGGGACTGAAACTCCCAGTGTGGGCAGGATGATTCTGGATGTTGTATTCTTTTTATGCTCTGCTGCATAAAAAGACAGGAAAATGTCAGCGTACTGGAAGAAGCAATGAACACCAGCATGTAGCGATGGTCCTCCACCATCAACTCAGCTGGACTGGCCACGTTGTCCGGATGCCTGACCACCGTCTCCCAAAGCAATTGCTCTACTCCAAACTCAAGAATGGAAAATGAAATTTTGGAGGACAGGAAAAGAGATTTAAAGATGGGCTCAGAGCCAACCTTTAAAATTGTGGCATAGACATCGAGAACTGGGAAGCCCTGGCCCTTGAGCGCTATAGTTGGAGGTCAGCTGTAACCAGCAGTGCTGTAGAATTTGAAGAGGCATGTATGGAGGGTGAAAGAGAGAAACATGCCAAGAGGAAGGTGCATCAAGCCAACCCTGACTGGGGCCGCCTTCCACCTGGAAACCAATGCCCTCACTGCAGGAGAACATGTGAGTCAAGAATAGGGCTCCACAGTCACCTACCGACCCACTGCCAGTACACCGACCTTGGGGGACAATCTTACTCAGACAACGAGGGATGGCCTAAGTAAGTAAGTAAGTAAAGTAAGTAAGTAAGTAGCAAGGAAAATGCAAGATGTATGTCCTTGCCTGCCAAGGTCTGTGCTCCCAGAAAGAGTAAGTAATCTTATGTTCTGTGACTCTGTGGTGCTTGGGAATGAAAGGACTCTTTTAAAACGAGTCATACTTTCAAAACAGAGATGCTTTGGCTACTATGAAACATGGTATCCATATAGTAGTAAGAACAGTTTTCAACTGGGTGGGGATCTTTGGCTTCCTGCCCCTCCTGGTTGTAAAGCATCACAATAACAACAACTGCAGTCTGAACTTTGATCGCTGGTTTCCCCATCTTTTCCTGTGGCAACAAAAACAATTCAGCATTGAATTTCTCCTGCTAGCAAAATGATGGTTTGCTTTCACAAGATTTCAAGCCTGTGAAAGAAGTTTAAAAGGGGGGGGGGGGAGAGGGAGCGACTTGTGTAGCCGCATGGGCAAATTCAATGCGGTGTGTGTTTTTGACTCTCTGTATGGAAAGGAGCAAGCTAGGAATTGGAAAGACACATTCCAGCCCAGCTCCAGGGCCAGCCCACATTGCACATGAGAAAAGCTGGAACATGATTGCTCTCCAGCTGGAATGGGAGCCTTTGTCCATACACTCCGCACAAAGAGAGAAATACGGATGCTGGCACGTCAAAATGTCAAAAAAAGGCCATCATCCAGCTGTCTGATGTTACACTTCTTCTTCAAACGAGTTCCAAACACTTATATAAAACTGGATGGGTCAGGATCCCGTAGTCATAGCCAATTAAGATCAAATAGAGCGTTCCAATGCAAAAACTGTTGCCTTTTTAAGATGAAAAGAACGATTCACGCAGTTTTGAAGGAAGCTTATAGTGGTCTATCTTTAGCAGCAGGAACAGAACCCCCTTCCCCAAACAAACACACATCAAGCCTTTGTTTGTTGGCAAGGTCAAATAAGGATAGGATCGGAAAGCAGAATCCAGACATAGTTTAGCAGCTCCTCCCTGAACAAGGACGAATCTCAAAATAAGCCTTCATTCACCAAAGTAAAATATAAATAAAAGCTATTTGATACTAAATAAAGACTGTAAGCTTGCTGTATAAACTCAATTTGTAAAACCACTACAGTTGATGGGTGTGGGATATTTAACTTAAACTGTTAAATATGATCTGATTATAATACTGAATTTAATATGGGCACCTATACATTGCTTCGTTAATATGTTTAGAGAGAACAAGGAACTTGGAAGAGGAAAGGAGTTCTAGTATTTGGAATTTAGTAGATGGGTTTGGTTTTGAGAAACCTCAAGTTGCTTCTGGTGTGAGAGAATTGACTGTCTGCAAGGACATTGCCCCGGAGAGGCCTGGATGTTTTGCCATCCTGTGGGAGGCTTCTCTCCTGTCCCTGTATGGGAAGCTGGAGCTGACAGATGGGAACTCACCCTGCTCCCCGGATTCAAACTGTTGGCCTTTCAGTCAGCAGTCCTGCCAGCATAATAATATTATCTGTCATATAGTCTTCAAAGCAGAGTGGATTCAATGACCCTGAAGAAAGGCCGCCTCTTGTTCATCTATTACAGGGGCTTTTCAAACTAAGGCCTGCAGGCTGGGCTCCTGCAGGGTTGCCCTAAGTTTGAAATGGCTTGAAGGCACACAACAACAATAATCCTAATTAACTAGACTATCTTATCAGCCAAAAACGAGCCCACGTTTTCCATTGAAATATTGGGGATTTTATG